CTGGATTTTAAGACCATTTTCTACTTGCGTCGATATTTTCAAGGACGAAGATGTGTCAGCGAAAGCAGAGTTTCTCGGGCTGCGTGAGAATAACTCATTGAAAGTTGATTTTCAAAATGATAAACTCAGCACATTTTGGCTAAAAGCAGCTGCAGAATATCCTATTATAGCTGACAGAGCTTTAAAAATGTTGATTCCATTTGCCACAACTTACAGATGTGAAACTGGTTTCTCAACTCTTGTTACATTAAAAACAAAAGCCAGAAACCGTCTGAATGTTGAGCATGACATGAGATGCGCGTTGAGTGAAACCAAACCTAATATTGTCAAACTTGCGAATGCAAAGCAATTTCAACCTTCACATTAGTTAACTCCAAGATATTACTTTACTTTACTAGTTACCTAAACGTGCAATTTCTTAGAATTTTGTGAGATAATAAACATATTTTCGTTCGAATTTGTGTCGTTTTAATTATTTTAAATTAGCTAGGGGTAAACTCAATTCCCATACTTGTTCACAGGGGTAGTGACATTGAAAAGGTTAGGAACCGCTGGGTTAGAATATAATAATTCGACCTTTAATAAGAAAGCGGTTGATTATTTATTTTCAAGTCAAACAACATATATTCACGTCGATCCTTGATCTGTGGGCGGTCTGGATTCCTATGTTTGGGAAAGTCAATGAAAATGCTGTTTTTGTTCATAGTACTTTTTTATACTTGATAGATGGATGTTTGGCTTCCAACTTGCCTGATGGTGTAGATATAATTACACCTACATTTTAATTAGGTTTACTCTTATCATATAACATAACATAACATAACATAACATAACATCACGCTTTTTATCCCCGAAGGTGTAGGCATGCATATTACGCCACTGTACAATGTAACACCCACATTTCACTATTTATGTTATGAGTCCCATGTAATAGGGGGTGAACCTATTGCCATATACCGAGCACAATTTCAGACACTGTGCTACTACTGGGGTTTTTTTTTAAAAACACAGTAATACTTTGCCCGACCCGAAAATCAAACCCGAGACCCCTTGCCCGGCAGTCGCACTTGCGACCACTCGGCCAGGCAGGCATCAGTCTTATCATATATCATTGACTAAACACGTATTAATGCTTAATCCCACTTCTGATACAAAATCTCAATTTACCTAATAGATCTATCCTAATAGATTTCGTTAGGGTCTCGTTTTCTTTGACAAATACAAACTATAAAAAGGTTATTTAAATACTCACCCGTGCTTGACCTTTTATAAAGCAAATCCCTTTCCCAAGTACTCCACTTTAGAAATTACATCGCTGTTCAAAAACATTCTTTAAAAGCTATATTGAATTTCAACCATATTGAACAACAAGGAAAATACCAAAGCCAAGTGAATCCAGAATCACTTATACGACGTGTAACCCAATAACGAGTTCAATCAGTTGAAGCGTACTTAAGTTGATAAAGTTCGACACTCGACAGTACCCACTTCTACCAAATGTAGTCCTAGTTCCTTAATTCCAAACCAATAGCACCATTAGACAACTATTCAATAACTAGAAATAGTACAAAATTTATATAATTGAATAAACGACGGTCGAATTTATTCAAATTATTGTACAGTACGTGTCAGTAGAGTTATTCACAAAATTGAATTTGTTTTGATAAATGAAAGCAGCTTATCCATGACCTTAGAAATTAAATTTAAACGTTTGTTTAATCGCAAACATAATTTATTAATTAAGCTCTAGTAGTTAAATGTGTTTCGTTTTCTTTTGATCTTTTTTTACCTTTGGTGTTGCTTTCGTGAATTAATAAACAGGCCTAAACAAACAAGTTGTATTCTGTGTCGTTTAAATATTTTGTTGGTCCTTTAAGGTGTTGATACAATTACGTGTTACAATTTAACACTTTGTACGAAAAAGGTGGGTTTATTTATTTAGGTGGTGATAATCTTGAAATGTATAGTGGTAAAGGTTTGATACTATGTCCACTATCATATAAAGTAGATGACTGATGTTTAGCTTTGAAATAAATGTTACTTACTTTTGGTATAGAGTCGTGTGATGACAGTGTATGAAAATTAAAATATAATTAGTCCGTCAGTTAGATAATGAAAAATTTTGACATTAGACACGTATTGTTTGGCTGACTGGTAGCAAGTGCGATGTGCCGTGTAAGGGGTCTCGAGTTCGATTTCCGGGTCGGGCAAAGTATTACAGGGTTTTTAAAAAAATCTCAGTAGTAGCACGGAGTCTGGAAATGTGCCTGGTATATGGCAATAGGCTCCCCCCTATTTCATGCGACTCATAACATAAATAGTGAAAAGTGGGGGTTACTTTTGTTTGCACCTCTGCCTACCCCTTCAGGGATAAAAGGAGTGATGTTATGTTATGTATTGTTTTAGTTTGTCGTATAAGAAAACAATATTCAGATAAACCAATCAGCCTAATAGGGTAGTAGGCTAAATTTTATGTTAATGTCCGTCTGTAATTTTAAAACATTAGAAACGTATTATTTTTCATTTCTGACAAAATTAAATACTTCCGACGATATATTGATTTGGAATATCGTGTGTCATCACGATATACTATACTTTAAAGGGTAGCGTGACGTAACGACCCACTCCTGAACTTAACTCCATTTTATCCAAGTATTGTTTTCTTATACGACATAATAAAAAAATATGTGCTCCAATTACATTTTTAATTTTTATATACCGTCTATTACCTATTACATTTTTTACACACAAGTAAAAGGCCAAAAGAAAAAAACAAATCATATTATTCTATGGATATCAAAGCACCATTTATAAGGATTTCTCATTTCGAATTCCTATTCAATCCGCTTTATAGTGCATTCGTTTGATGTGATATTTTATGCGGTTATTCCTTTGAAGCACAATATGAAGAATAAACGTCGATATTGCATCTGAATATAGTTTTCATATGCGGATTTATTCGCCTTTTTATTGGATTATTGGTAGCTAGAAATGCTACTAATGGATTTAGATTATTGATAATATTGAGTAGCGAAGCATTTGATGCGTTTTTGTAAATCTTTTTTTTTATGGCGTAAGTCGGTAAACGAGAAGACGGATTACCTGATGGTAAGCAATCGGCGTCGCCCATGGACACCTCGAACAACAGAGGCGTTACAAATGCGTTACCGGCCTTTTGGGGAATTGGGAGTTTGAGGATCGTTGGGGATTCAGGAATTGGGGAGATTGGGGAAGGGGAGATTCGGAAACCTCACTTACACGACGAAATACAACGCAAGCTTTGCTTCACGTCGGTTTTCTGTGAGGCCGTGGTATCATTCCGGTCGAGTCGACCCATTCGTGCCGAAGCATGGCTCTCCTACACTTAAAATAGTGAATGTTTTACATTCATATATAATCACACGCCTGTCTCCCATAGGGGTAGGCAGAGACTATGGAACGCCAATTGCTATGATTCTTACATACCTCTTTCGCTTCATTAACAGTGATCAGTGTTTTCATGCATGCTGGTTGGTTAAACTGTCAAACACCGAGCGGTCACCGGTGACCGCAACCTATTGTTCTTTAATTGTGTCTATAATGACGGTACTCAAAGAGTTAAGGTACTTTTAACCGCTTGAACGCACCGATATGAGACACAGACAATATATTGTCTGGCGTGGATCCGCGTTTAGACACACGAAAGGTTAATTTGACCCTTCTTTAATATATCACCAATATGTTTAATATATGAATGTTTTACTTCAAAAGAAATAAAGAATGGCTTATGTGTTTGTATCGGTGTTTTTTTCTTAAATTAGTCAGATAACATGACTCGTCATGTTTACTATTTTATTTAGTTTTGTTTTTTTACTTCTGTCATTGAGACATTGATTGTAAAATTACAGTCAATGTTACAAAACCAATTAAATAATTGGTTTTATGGGGCTTAGATTATAAAATACTTACCTGTGTGATATAAAGATAAATAAATCCTTACTAATATTATAAATCTGAAAGTGAGTTTGTTTGTTTGTTTGTTTGTTCCACCTTCACGCCGTAACTACTCAACCGATTGCTTTGAATTTTTGCAGACGTAAAGTTAGAAGTCCGGATTAAATAATAGGGTACTTTTTAACCCAGAAAAATTGATATTCCCGAGGAAAAACAAAAGTATTGATATAGATGGCGCTGTGTGTATTGGTATGTGTCACATAGGCTACTTTTTATCCTTTTGTGACGCGAGCGAAGCCGCGGGTAAAAGCTAGTAAATAATAATTTGTTAACCTACAATATTAACCTTATGAAAAGACAAAACTGGAAGCTAACAATGTTTCTTTAATTTTTTAATTTGCCCTCTCTATACTCGAAGCAAGTGTTCCACACATAGTAAGGGAGCATGCCATTTAAATTTATTGAATTTCAATAAAGTTGCGGTATTGGTCGTTAAATATAAATTGTTTACGCCATTATTGCAACAAGGTTTAATGAATTCATTACAATAACCGTGGTGTAAGATAATTACTTAATTTAATATCAATATTAATTACTTTCCGAAGTAATTTAATTACAATTGTTATTCACATTCATAAATAGTAATTCATTTGTTTATTCAATTCGTTTAAGTGTTTAATATGAGCATTTAGATTTTACAAATCCAATTAAAACATAATAATCTGTATATTATACAGTAATGTTTATTAAAATACTGCCTTGTTAGCCGAGTGGTCGCAAGTGCGACTGCCGGGCAAGGGGTCTCGGGTTCGATTCCCGGGTCGGGCAAAGTACTACTGGGTTTTCAAAAAAAATCTCAGTGGTAGCACGATTTTGGAATTGTGCCCGGTATATGGCAATAGGCTCATCCCCTATTACACAGGACTTATACCATAAATAGTGATAAGTGGGTGTTACATTGTACTGGTACAGTGGCATTAAGTGGCATTAATGTGTACCTCTTCCTACTCCTTCGGGGATAAAAGGCGTGATGTTATGTTTATTAAAATATATTTTTTTCTTTCCAGAAGCCGGACTTACCCGCCTGGCTGGCGTATGCTAGAAGGAGATGAGAAGTGCAACAGTCTCGGGATCCATATTAATAACCATGTCATTTAAATCAATGTTCGTGATTACTGTTAACAGTTTTAAACGTTTAAGTACCACATTCCAAGTAAATTTTATCCTTTAACGTGTACCTTAACCCATATTTAATAGAGACTCGCGAGTTTGCGTTCTGACTGATTTAAAATGTATTTATTTTATTGAATAGTTTATTTATGAATGTTATTTTACTGAATAATTTATTCGTTAAATATTTTATATTTAATTCATTTTTGTAGATTCCGATGGATAGACAATGATTTGTATCTTATTGTATTTAGATATTTAAACGATTTTCAGTCTACTTCTACCTAATTTAAGAGTCAATAAGTCATAGAATTCAAAATAACAATGTACCTTTACGGTTCAAATATCATTGTAATGTTATGAATAAAAGCAATTGATAAAATGTAATATTAATTTGTTTGTTTTATTGTTACCTGTTTCTTGGAACGGGATAGGTATAAACAACTCTAGATATTGTTGGGTTAATTACGTGTATAGCTTTGATTTTCCGAGGAAATAAAATTAGGGTTGCCCGAGCTACGGCTCGACGTGCAGGAGAAGGAACGGGGTGGTTTTTAGTCAGTAAGAGTTTGACACCCCCTCCCGCCTCACCCAGGCGGGAGCAGTTATTGGATGATTTTCTCTCCTTAAAAAAAGACGTTTCTATCATCATTGAATAATCTAATGAAAAATTGTGAACAGTATGTTTAGTCAATGCCTAATAGGTGGTTGAGGGAGTTTGAATGGAGTCATATTTTGAGACGATCTGTTTAAATTGAAAAAGATTGAATAAGATAATTATTTAAACAGCATTACAGTCAAGGTAAGAAAATATTTGATGTAGTGATGGCCCGGAGGTTTAAGACGTTTTTGAAACCTACTATCGGAAAGTGCCAATGTACCTTTTTCCGAGTTATATGTACTTTCCAAAATTATTTAGACACCACTGATAAACGGTGAAGGAAAACATCGTGAGGAAACCTGGACTTAGAATTTCTAATTGTAAGTTTGTAATCGCCAACCCGCATTGAGCAAGCGTGGTGATTAATGCTCAAACCTTTTTCGTGTGAGAAGAGGTTTCTTGAGAGATTTCTTTCAAAGAGGTTTCTTGTGGTTCACACATTTTTACAACTTTATTTAGTTCTACATTTTGGTATACTTATTTAGAGAACCCTATATACCTATTTGATGATATCCTCGGTATCTTAATTGTACAATTCAAAAAGATATGTTAAAATGAAGTGATTAAGAATTTCGTGAAAGTGATATTATAATAATTTCGAGATATGCTTGAAGTTTCTCTACAATACCGAGGTCAACTACTAGGACAAAATTCCTAATATCTATTTGACCTTTGTTTGTTGTGGGGACTGTTCTATGAGAGGATTGTTCCAAACTATTTCTATAATCTAAATTCTTTGAGATCAATGGTTTTAGTCTTCAAAGGTCACTCTGATTTTGACATTATTTTCCAAATGGATTAGGCAAAGTAGTCAACGTTCCAAGTTTCATCTCCTAAAGTATAAGAGTCCTCTTATGGAAGTTCCAACTCTTAAAAAATAAGAGTAGGTACTCATTTTTGGGCTGAAAATCATTCCAATGACTTTTTTCACCTGGGTGAGGCAAGAGGGAGTGTCAGACACTTGATGACTAAAAACCAACTTGTTCCTACTCCTGCATGTCAAACCGGAGCCCCGGCAACCCGTTAAGTCATCCGCAGCTCCGTATCGGCATCAGCTCTATTGAGCCCTATCTGTGGTGGTCTCATGGTTGATTGAGGCGCGCGTGGAACGCGACCCACCGAGCGTACGGGTCTGGTTTTAGTCGGGCGGCAAGCTAACGATGCTCGTCGTCCGCAGGCCTGTGCTTAGGAGATTTGGAGATCGTCTCTCGAAAGAATAAAAGCCCTATATTGGCCACAACGCCAAGCTCTGTGATATTGCAATTTTTTTTTATTTAAATAAAAAAAAATCTTCAATATTCTTGCATGGCAGTTGCGTGGATTTGTTGCAATATAACCGTCAAATCCATATATTATTATGGAAATCTGAGTTAGATACATACCTGGGATGGACTTTTATATTGATTTATGCTAAAACAGTAAGGTACATGTAGTACTTACTTAATATTGTGTAGGTACACATCCAGACAAATATAAACTTTCTGTGCGTAATTATCTACAAAGAAGTCATGACTTATTCGTCATAACTTATCGGTCATTTAACAACATTTTGTCGTGGTAAAGACTTTATTTGACAAATAAAACAAAAGGACAATGATAAAGTGTTAGTCACATGAGGTGATGTGATATACCTAAAGAAAGTTAAGTCTTTGATTTTGTTCCTAAGGCATTTGCCACACTGCCGACGAGGAAACGACAACAAACGACTAACTATCGGCTATTATCTCGCTCAAGAAACGTGTAATAGATATACATTCCGTATAAACAAAAGAGATGCATAGGTATACGAATAGTTGATCGCTGACTGTTTATGCTGTTGGCGAGCACTCGCACAAGCATATATTGGAACTATACGCATTCCCCGTGGGTCGCCAACTCATTTCCAATTCTAGTTCTACTCGTTCACCGTACCCGATGCAACAACTACAGTAGGTACCTATGTATTGTAACTTTCGTGATACATACTAAATAAATTATTATGTTTTCGGCTTACTCACGTAGGTAATAATTTGACGAGGAACTCGACTAGTTTCAAGCCATGCTAGAGGCTCATATTCATGAGCAGCATTTCGCGACCCGCGACGCGGCGACTGTCGCTGCTACTGCTACTGCAGTACTGAGCCTCTAGCATGGCTTGAAACTAGTCGAGTTCCTCGTCAAATTATTACGTGAGTAAGCCGAAAACATAATAAACTACAATATGAGTAAAGAGAAGTATTAAATTCGTACTCTACCAACCCTAGCAGATATTAAAAAGAAGTCATTTAAGTTGTATGGTGTTGGCATGTGTGTACACACCTTAAAACAAACTTAACGCGTTCAACGAATCGTTTATGTAATTTGACTTATTTGTGTAGAACAAATAAGATTTTCTTGAAGAAAAAAACAAATAATTTGATTGTTGCTGGCATTTGTATTGAACACAATTAGATTTACGCAGGTAATTTATTATTGTGTGTCACTCACAATATTCTTTTAAGGGGTAGACAGAGATACTAGTTATCTCGTCGAGTACCGGTTTTATAGACACAATTAATCTGTCAAACACCAAGCGGTCACCGGTGACCGCGACCTATTGTTCTTTAATTGTGTCTATAAAACCGGTACTCGACGAGTTAAAGAACAATAGATCGCGGTCACCGGTGATCGCTTGGTGTTTGACAGTTTAATAAGCTTTTCAGTTTCATTCATGTGACAGAACGACCTTTCTTTACTAAGGCGTTATTTTAGGTAAAACATAACAAAACATCAAGCCTTTTATCCCCGAAGGGGTAGGTAGAGGTGCACATTATGCCACTGTACAATGTAACACCCACTTTTCACTATTTATGTTATGAGTCCCATGTAATAGGGGGTGAGCCTATTGCCATATACCGGGCACAATTCCAGACTCCGTGCTACTAGGTACTGAGAATTAAAAAAAAACCTAGTAAAACTTTGCCCGGCCCGGGAATCGAACCAGAGACCCGTTGCCCGGCAGTTGCACTTGCGACCACTCGGCCAACGTGGCAGTCAGGCAGGCAGTTTAGGTAAAAACTAAAATTTAATAGTCATAATAAATTAACATAATTACTATACTCCAAGTTCAAGTGCTAGATTCTATCAGAATCTAAATAGGTACCTACAGAAATAGAAGGAGTTTAGTCTTTTTACTTAGTGCTTAGTGCCTGCTCGTTTCCTGTCTACGAGAATATGGATAGTATGATATTCTACACGATAGTGTAGGTATTTGTTTTTTCTATACAAAGAAAGGATAACAACAACAAAAATAAAACCCTCAATAATTTATTATTATTTATTCCTTCCTATATCTAATCCGTTTCAGTACATCGAGTAATTACAATAATAAATGACTAACTTACTCTTTAAGCACAAACATTTAAAATTATGACATTTTACAATCAAAATGAGATCGTTTTTTTTATACATAATATCGAAAAATTGACGTTTATCCACCGCGCAAGCACCTATAATATCATACAACCTTACATTTATACATTTAAATCGTGCTTAGTTAAAAACTCCCTCTTATTCATAAGAATATGGCTTAAATTTAAGTGCTCTAAATATTGATTTAGATATAGTTTACAATATTATTAAGTAAGTGTGTTAAAATGTAAAATTATAAAAAGATGGCACTGGTTTGAATTAAACTTTTTCTTGATTGTTTCTTATTGCTAACAAACATGTGTTAATGACATGATTGACTTCAAAAATATTACTTGGTAAAAATCAAACCCTGAAATTGTTGACCATCTTAAAAAAGAGGTAGTACAAGAACAGGTTTTGACGTGAAACAACTTTGTGTTGTGTTTCGTCGTGTGAGTGAGGTTACCGGAGGCCCAATTACCCCCCGCCCCCCTTTCACCAATCTCTGAATCCTCAACAATCCTCAATTTTCTAATCCAGAAGGCCGGTAACGCACTTGTAACGCCTCTGGTGTTGCGTGTGTTCCTGAGCGACACCGATTGCTTACCATTACCAGGTGATCTGTCAGCTTGTTTACCGGCTCATCCCATAAAAAAAAACAAAGGTTATGATTGGTGTTCATAATTGGTTATGTGGCCGTTATCGAAGAATCGGAAAATGTGTTCAAGAACTGTTCACAGGTGGACCAATAACACGATGGCATGACGACCATTCTCGATTCATAGTTGCAAACAAGGTTCCTTATGGTCGACTATGTTCCAGATGTTATTGTAAATGAATTGGCATCTGAACTACTAAATGAAAAACATTCATTTCTGACAATGCAATAAATTACTTTTAAGAGGAACTGAGAAAGATTGATGATGAATTATATTTGGTAGGGGTCTCTTATGAATAAGGGGTTGAAAATACATTAATTGATTGTAATACTAACAAGTGACACCAAGGTCGCTTTACGGACGCATCGGTGCAACGTCTAGAACATTTTTCTTATACGATACAATAAAAAAAGCTATTAGTGGAATGTTATCTTATATTTACACCAAAAAGTATTTTTTTGTATATGGAAGGAAATGAGACAGACAGATTTTTTTGGGGAATACTATAAAAGAGGGTATACAAAAAGTACAGGGAAGACTTGAACTAAAAACAGTAAGATACTTACTCGAAGAAGAATAGGTTTCATAAGGAAATATTTTAGGATTATTATTAAGTCTAAGTACTGGAAGAAGAGTCTACGTTAAATTTCAAATAAGTAATAGCCGTTCATGCATACAGTCACGAAACATAATATTCTAAACATCTACGGGAATACGGTGTTGTGAATCTCTAACTTGCTGATAATAAAAATAAATTACAATTTGTTCTGAAACAAGTTGAAAACTTTAACATACAATTTACCAAATGGTCACAACTTACGATTGAAAACAACGCCATCTCTCTTCTATTTCTGGAAACTGACAAAGGAAAGCTTCCCGATTTTCCTACCTCACATAACGAGAGGACAACTGTACTGTAGGGTGAACATTTTAGTGAATACATTTAACCGTTACTAGATGGCGTAAAACGTGCAATTGAGACATGCTTACAACAAGTTATTGATCCACAAACCAAAGACACAACATAAAACAACTAGACAGCTACTAGAACTACATTATACATACAATAGATACAGAAGACGATAGACGGATGGAAATTCTGGGGCATTAGCATTACAATTACATAATCTAAAACACTAGTACCACTATTAATTATACTAGGGGGTAAACGATTAATTTGGCAATTAGAGACCCTATTTACATTAGAGAAATAAGGAGTCGCTATCCTATTAATATTAGGGCTACCTATAAAATAATCAACGGAGAAAGGTTGAAATGGAAGGATACTATAAAGTTGCTATTCAGAATTTTGGCAGTTTCTATATCTTGATTGTTGAAAGGCAATGTGTGGTTGGAAATAGTGATTTCAGTCAAATACTTTAGGTAGCCCAAAATATACTTCTAAACAGCGTTATCTAGCTCTCCTAAAGTTATAGTAGCGTCTAACTTGAAGCGGAATTCGAACTAATAAAGATTGACTCACAATTATTAATCCTAAACTACTGTTTACATTCCATTTGAGACTACTAAACCGGTTAATACTTCAGTATATTACTAAGGTAAGAACCAAAAACTTTGCTTTTGAGCAAAGACGTCATACAATAGAAGTCATAGGTCACAGCGCTTTAATTAGTCAATAATATAGCTTACACGTAATATTTACAGCACACAATCGTTCACACAAATCATTCAGATAAGTGCAATATATTCTAACAATCAACAATAAAAAGTGCATAGGAATCGTATTTTTGTTTTATCAACAATTTGATTGTAGACGAAAATGGATTTGCTGGAGAGTGCACGATTTAGTAAATTAGTCAATGACGTTAATGCGTCAAGAGGACTGAAAAGACAGTAAAAATTTTGTTATGTGTGATCAAAAGAGACTTTTCGATGCAAATCCCTAATCCCCAAAAAGCCGGTAACGCACTTGTAACGCCTCTGGTGTTCCAGGTGTCCATGGGCGACGCCGATTGCTTAGCATCAGGTGATCCGTATGCTCGTTTACCGGCTTATGCCATAAAAAAAATCGAGCAAAATCATGCACTTTCCACAACTTTCCATCCAAGGTAAATTACAGGTTTCAAGTGGCATACTGTGTTACAAAAATATTTATACTGAAGTCTTTGTATCTTATATATTACATAACAATATAGTTTATAATGATCGGTTATCATCTATATTAGACACGTTATGTCCTAATATATTTAATCTATTATGAACGTGTAGTTTTTCCTCTAGTTTCAAAGGATCATTATCAGACCCTTCCTTTAGTAGCTCCCATAAATTATTCTTGTCTAATATTTCGAAGCCACCCTTATTTTCCGGAGCGATATCGTATTTGAGAGTTTCTGACAACGTCTTTGAAGTTTCGGAAATTGGAGTTGGCGGGATTTTGTGTATCTCTTTGTTTATAGATTTCATTGTTTTTGCATTGTACTTTTGTGTAACAATTGGTTTCTTTTTCGTTTTGTTTATTATGTCTGAGTCAATATCTTCGCTTTTGTTTTGTTTTGTAGTATTGTGAACGTGGTTAATTATCGGTTTCTTGATTTGCGTTATAGGTTTAGGTTTCTTTGTCCTGTAGTGTATTGATTTGATATTGTTGTTAGTGATAGCTGTTATTGTGTGAGGGATAACTGGTTTGATTGGCTTCATAGTAGTGATGTCATTATGTGTAATGGGAAGTTCCGTAGTTTTAACTTCAACCGTAACAGTCTTGTTAACTTTAGTCATATTGTCCTCTGGTAAGATTTTAAGAATTTCTGTTTTAAGTTCAGTTTTGTTAGCCACTACGTTCACTGGTATAAGGGGCTTTAAAACATCTGTTTTCTTGAGAACAATCTTGTGTAGTGACTTTTCAGTTTCAACAGAAACTGGAACAGATGAAGTGTGATTCTCATTATTTAATGTTTGTTGAGGTTTTTCAGTAGATGTCATTTCAATCGTCGTAGTTATAGGTGTGGGAGATGTAACAGTAGAAGTCATAGGAGTAGACGTAGTAGTCGATACTGAATTTTCCATTTCCCTTAATTTCAAGAAGAATTTCTCATGTTTATCTCCATACGTTGCTTTTAATGTACCCTTTCTTCTAGGTAGTGGCTTCTTCTTATAATCGTCTTTCCTTGGCAAAACTGATTTTGGCACAATGAGTTCTCCAGTTATCTTTGGCAATAGAGAGGCTAAGTCATTATTGACGTCCTGCTTCTCAGTTGTATTTACGTAAGTTACAGTTGGGATTATTATAGGGTCATCTAAACTTTCAATTTTGATTGAAGAAATATTATCAGTTGTCGTTTTATCAGTAGTAGTAGTAGTGTCTTGTGTGGTAACAATCTCTGTAGTACTCGATGGAGTACTGGCTTCAGTACTTGTAATGTCTTCAGTAGTTGAAAGCTCTGTAGTAGTTATTGTACTGCTTTCTTCGGTAGTTGTATCTACGTTTTCTGTAGTACCTTCAGTATGCTCCTCATAGTTCTTCCTAAATTCGTAATCCCTGCTACAAATACGTCCGCATTCACAAATATTATCAATACTTGTACTGGTTTTAAGACTAGCGAGTTCGGTTTTATCAAACCATGTTATAAAATCATCGTCAGTGATGCCTCGTAGTAGTGGACTTCCAGGTCGAGCGTGGAAGAATGTTTCCACGGCTAGATCTGGCCGCGTCGAAGGATAGATCTTGGCGAAGGCTGGTCTTAAGCTTGTGATAACGAACTTCGAACGTACTTCATATGTGACGCAGACGGGACACGTGGAGCTTATCTGTAAATAGAATTGTAACATTTATATGAGCAACTTAGAGTAGGTCTACTGTTTGTAAGATTGACGAAAGCAAGGACTTTTATTTAATTAATATAATCGGGATTTTGGATTTTCTTAGTGACTTGAGTTATATCCACTCTTTAGATGACTCATTTTATACAAGCGATTAATAAATGAACAGGTGAATAAGGTAGGTGGCATGTCCAAAAATGTTATCTAAATGTAAATGATACTTACGTTAGCGAAGACGAACCATACGGATTCTCCTCTGGACCCGTAATGCAAATCAGCGAAGGTGGCACCATCTAATACCACAGGGTTTACTGAATGCAGTTCATAGCCAGAGAACAGAGATGATTCTAAACGGAGAATTCCTGAACGCTCTTTGCCCTTCCATCTGTAAAATTCAAATTACTTCGTTATGACCCTGCATGAACATAATGACTGCCTCGTTGGCCGAGTGGTCGCAAGTGCGACTACCTGGCAAGGGGTCTCGGATTTGATTCCCGGGTCGGGCAAAGTATTACTGGGTTTTAAAAAAAAATCTCTATAGTAGTACGGAGTCTGGAAATGTGCCCGGTATGTGGCAATAGTCTCACCCTCTATTACATGGGACTCATAACATAAATAGTGAAAAGTGGGTGTTACTTCTGTGTGCACCTCTGCCTACCCCTTCGGAGATATAAGGCGTGATGTTATGTGAACATAATTATTTATTGAATTCAAGTTAAAAGATTTTAAACCAAGTCTTTTTTTAAATAGCCGTTTCATAAGGCGAACTTACTTGAAACAAGTCTTAATGATCAGTGTGGGTAGGTTTCCTTGCAAGTCTTCGATGCTGCTTCTTTCGGGCCGGATTTCTTCAATGATGGCGGCTTGAATGTTCAGCAATGCATTCTCAGGTTTCGGTGTGTATGTTGAATAGGTTATTGTTCCCTGTAATTAAGTTTTTATAATTCAAGGCAGACTTTTTTGAGAGAGCTGAATGAGAGCAGTTAAGTGCGATAGTGTAAATTTTGGTGTCCATGGTAAAAAGAAGTGGGTAAAAGAAACGGGAGTTTGTTTCGGCATTTCTTCTCAGAGTAGTCAGTTAGGAAATGTCGGCCTCATCGTTCGCTTGATAAAATTGACATGTAAAAGTGCTGCCTTGTAGCGTATTTGCAGAAATAAATTCACTTATTCACTTGTTTCACTTAAGAAAAACAGGTAAAAGGAATTGAAAGGGCAGAAAAAAATTTAATTAAAAATCTAGAAAGTATATAATAAATAATCAGTAATGATTTAAACACCTTCCTTTTCTTTATTTTTCATTAAACTGTTCTCTTGATATTTACCTGGACAGTAGCACAGCCAGCACCAGTGGCGTACACAAACACCTTTGTTGGCAAGCCCGGCAGTTGCAGCGGTCGAGGTGGAGTACGAGCGCGCAGTTCCAAGGTGTCTGTCAGTTCCATACCAGCTGTTGCTAGCGATACTGTGAGGGCTCGATGTCTGAATAGAAGTAATATTGATATACAAAATCTTCAAGTATGAATTCTGCATAGATTTTGACTGTTTGGATTTCGTAGCTACTAATGGCTAGTATTCCATAAAAGTTTTTCCAAACCTATACAACTGTGAGTCTTCCAACACTAATTAGTACCTATAATGCGTCAAGCGTGTCTTTGCATTGTTCTCACATATTTGCACAGTATTGGAATATGTATCAGAGACATTGTAGAACATACTTTTTTAAAAAGAGTAACGAATGGAGTTTCTTGCTCGTTCTTCTCCATTCGAATCTACATTTTGGAATGAGCACCTAGCGTCACTGACGGACTCACTGACAGACTATTATTTATTTTGTATTTGTTGACGTTTCAAAAGTACCAAATTATGGTTTAATTGAAATAAATGCTTTGACTTTTACTTTGACGTCAGTTTTAGTTCCATCATTCTTATGAAAACGATGTAAACTTGATAATTTTACGAAATAAAAAAGAAAATGATTGTGATATGCACCTGTCATGAGCTAATGCAGCATACTGGGCAGCAGCTTTAGTAGCGCTGTACGCCAGGCTCGGGTGTCGCTGCAGTGTAGACGCGCGGTAGTAAAGGAACCGTGCAGCCGCCTCCCCCTCCGCGAGCGCGCCGCGGGCACACGCTGCCAACAACACTCGCACTCCAGCTACGTATTGTTCCATCGTTACTGCTTCTGCAAAAGAATTATTTGATTTTAGCTATACGTACATTTTTAAACATCATCGAGACTTTAAATTGAAAAGAGGCATCACGCTTGCAGCACCAATAGAATTTAGCTAGGGTATCTATTATATTGTACTTTCTAAGATAATCTAGACATCACTGACAAACGGTGAAGGAAAACATCGTGAGGAAACCCGGGCTTATAATTTCTAATTATAAGTTTGTAATCGCCAAACCGTATTACGCAAGCGTGGTGATTAATGCTCAAACCTTCTCCGTGTCAGAAGAGGCTTTGCTCAGCAGTGGGAATTTATAGGCTGTTGATGATGATCGATATAAATTGGCGGTGTCGATTGCTAACCAGCGGATGATCCCTTTGTTTATTTGCTGACTTAACCTAGTAACGTAATGAAAGTTCCATAGTAAAATATAGTTAATGTTTACCATAAGAAGTAGTTTTAATATTCCTAGAAGTTTCTTCGAAGCCAATCAGCAGCATCTTTCCTGGGTGCTGGCCATCCAAACTCGCCTTCTTCTGTTGTTGACGCATTCCTTAGAATTACTAAAGCTTCTGGTACTATTGGACTCCTGAAATGACATAGGCACATAATGAATATACAATTTTAAATCAATCTTTAGACGATATCATACATAGTTTGTTTCAGAAATGTTGACTTCCTCATTTCTAAAGGGTAAATTGGGTTTTATTTTCTTACCTCGCTAGAACCAGAGCTAAACGGTAGCAGCCAGAGCAGCTGGAGAAGTCAAATTGTGTAAGTTGTGTTCCAAGTAATTTTGAGCTTTCTTTGCCACATCAGCATCAACCTGCAAAATGAATGTAATAATTTATTAGAACAAATTACCTTGTACCATCATGAGATTAAACAAGATTGTTATGTTAGGACTACCATTTTTTTTTTTAAGGGGTAAAATCATCGAATGACTGCTCCCGCCTGGGTGAGGCGGGAGGGAATGTCCTCTTACTGACTAAAAACCACCCCGTTCCTTCTTCTGCACGTCGAGCCGGAGCCCCGGTTACCCGTTAGGTTCTCCGCGACATGTTAGGACTACCATAGAGCATTTCTAAAACGATCTCGTTCCTCAAAGCTCATCTTACCTTATTTTCAACTCCGACTTCAAGTAAAGCAACCAAAGTCTCAGCAGTGACTTCAACTCTCCTCTCCCAATCAATCTCTTCCTGAGTCATATTCCCATCCTTATCATAATAGTAATATTCATTGACGTCTACTTCTTTCGCTGTACCATTAGACTTCGTGATATCTACTGGATAGTAATCCACTTCTTTATCAGCAGCCAGAGGTGTAAAGGATCCATCCGCATTCTGTCGCTTCTGTATCCATTTCTTTATGTTTTGAAGCAGTTCTGGGTCGATCGGGTAGTAAGATTGGATCTTCGTTAGTATTTCCAGTATTTTGATTGTTGATAAGTGACTGCTCATTCCTGGATGATCACTGAAGGAGTTGTCGCTTTTTCGGAATGATAGTAAAACTTGGACCTGTAATAAAAAAACATTCATACACATACACAATATATTTGATACGTTAGCAAATTAGCTCATTTAACTCGTTGAGTACCGTCATTATAGACACAATTAAAGAACAATAGGTTGCGGTCACCGGTGACCGCTTGGTGTTTGACAGTTTAAGTCATTTATTTTCGGATTAGTTGTGAATTCTATTTAATATGTAATAATCACCTGCTCTGGCAGTTTCCGTAAGATGCGTTCCCTCTCAGCATCATCAACCAAATGCGGTATATGTTCCAAGGCCAGTAAAGGAGCCAAACTAGCAGAAGCTGCTGATAGTTGTGAGTCTCTCCACACTTCAGCCCACTGGTCAGTAGAATCCGTTTGAAGACTATACAGGGGAAGATGTAGACCACCAGATACTAAAAGAGTTCCACTTGCAGATCCTGGGACAACACCACGTGGCAAACCGAGTTCAAGGACTTGAGAGAAACCTGCTTCTTCATTAAAGTTCCAGATTCTGAAATAGTTATTAGAAGTTAGTCAACGTTTCATCAAAGTAAAAAGGTAAGTATCAATTTAATTTTCAGGTATTTCTTATTTCAATACAGTTTTTACTTAGATAGCTTGTTTTCAGACTAATTTAGATCAGATCTTTAAACGCACACGAATGAATTTCATTATAATTAGGTGATTTGCGTTCAGTCAAAAATAAACTACATATGCCAAGATTCAAAGTTTCTATTTCAACCTAGACGAGATACTTACCTAAAATCTGCCTTATCTCCCCAGAGTGCACTGAAGCCGACAAACTTGATCCTCATATCAGGAGCTAGAGGCCAGACTAAGAGTCTTCTCTCAGAAGGTGCGGCTCCTCTGCCTACGGACAACCTGCCCCCCTCCCACCACACCCACCAAGCACACCAGGAGTCAGCTCCAGAACAGTCCTCATCACTTTCTGTTTGTTCTGCACTAGCCAGATGGACGTCGTACCCTGGAATGGAGTGACAACGTTTTTAGAATATAAGTGATTAATTGGTCTTCCTTTGAATCGATTAATGTATAATTTAACTGGTTGATATACTACTTGTTTTGTTTTGATCGATTGAACAAAAGACTTTCTTATTTAACTCGTCGAGTACCTGTTTTATAGACACAATTAAATAACAATAGGTCGCGGTCACCGGTGACCGCTTGGTGTTTGACAGTTTAAATCCAATTTGTATAGTCAAATGAAGTTTATGTGGCAATACAATTATAGATATGATCCGAGAGTTCTAAAGTTGCTCAAATAGTTTATTGCCTGTAGGTATTACTATAATTATACATCAGTTATTTTTACAAAATACTCACCATGTTTTCCTTTAGCAATCCAGACTCTTGTTCTTTCAAACACGACTCTATACATATCGTCTGAAGGTTCACGTATCGATGACAATGCCACGTGAGCTGCACCTTGAGCTCGCAGTTCCAGCACTAAGCCTGCTCGGTTTCGAGGAGCAGCCACCCATTGCCACTCCCAGGATCCTCGGGAAGACACTGCTAGGTGTTCTAAAAGAAGAAAGTGTTACATGTATGTACATCACTAATTAGTAAGTAGTAGCTCCCTCACTATAATGTGTTATATAAGGTAGGACACTCGTCATTAACGCCGCTGTCTACCTGTCATAATCTAGTATGTGTATACGTCGTGCGCCCTGCACATTATTGTAATAAATTCAAGTAAAATAAATCCGTCTACAATTAATTAATCCACCAACATAACAGAAAGAATATAACAATTTTATTTTCAAACGTCCTCCTTACTTCATGAAAGGGAAAATGCTTATAATTTACAAGGATTATTCGAAATATGAGTTGGAGTATATTAAGTATATTAAGAGTATATATAAGAGGTATACCAATTGGTGTTAATTTTTATGGAGAACATGTTGTAGTTATGATTTTGTAATCTCACCCAACAAGGGTGAAAAGAAAAAAATTAAATGGCGAAGTCGGCTATAGAAATTTTCCTCAATAAACAAAACACTTGTGAACTATTTCGAAAAAGATTGTTATAGAAGTCTAGTCTAGAAGAATATTTATGTAGAAAGATACTTGTAAGAAAATACTTCTTTGCCTTTCACGAGGTTTTAATAAAAAAAACATAATACTGAGGACTTTCTAGGTATTCCTTATACCTATTAAAAACCTATAACGGAAACACTAAATGAAGGCACTTATTTTTTTGTACATTTTCTATTTTTGTGCCAAATTGTGGATTGCTATTTTATTTTATGGATTGAAAACGTAGTATGAAAGACAAAATACTTCAATTTAATATACTAACAATACTTTAATTTTTGTTGTTTCCTTTTTTTTACTTTCATTTTATTTTATACTTTAGTAGTAGTTAATTTTAAGTTGTAAATATTTATGTAGTTACAAATAATGTAATATATTTTCGCAATAAATAAGTAAGCTTAACTTAACTTTTTTAAGCGAAAACAACTACAGATTCTTAAGTATCTGGTAGAAGCTCTTTCCAAGAGTAAGAGATGTTCTCAAGAGTGGGCTTTTAACGAAAATTGCCAAAAAGTCTGCAAAAGTAGTACCATTGTCTCAAGTGTTCATTCTTTTGTCTCAAAAAGTACAATTAGAGTCATAAAGCTATGAACACAAATTTTTCGACATATCTTTTCTAGTAGAAGCTCAGTTTTTAAAACTTAAAGTATGTGATGCGTCACATCGTCGTCTATTTTAACGTCGAAACAGTTTTAGTACGTAAAATGTGTTTATTTATAACGTAACATCACGCCTTTTATCCCCGAAATATCACTGTACAATGTAACACCCACTTTTCACTATTTATGTTGAGTCCCATGTAATAGGGGGTGAGCCTATTGACATGTACCGGCCACAATTTCAGACTCTGTACATTCTCAGTAGTAGCACGGATGCTACTACTGAGAATTTTTGAAAAAACACAGTAATACTTTGCCCGACCCGGGATTTTAATCCGAGACCCCTTGCCCGGCGCAGTCGCACTTGCGACCACTCGGCCAACGAGGCAGCTTATTTACATGTGTTTATTTATACGCCAATTATAAAATAAAGTCAAATTAACCTTTTAAGGGACGCTTTAACAAAAAGGTAAACAACCACTTACCATTAGCACAGAAGTAAGCGCTCTGGGTATCAGTCCGGTGTAGACCTTCAGGCAGTACCAGCACGCTGGCTGACCTGATGACGGAGCCGACGAGGGTCTCGTTGTTGAAGGATGTGTAGGACACGGAGCAATTGTCGGCACTGTAGCCTGTTACTTCCACTGTAAGATTAAAAAAGGGAATCTGTTATAGTTTATTGGCAGATTGTGGCAATTGGGTAGTTTCCAGGGTATCAGAATTAAAAATCTAATTAGTCCGTCAGTTAGATAATGAAAATATATTAGACACGTATTTTTTATTTTCTCGTATTAGGTTGCAATACTTAGATAAAATGGCGCTTAGTTTAGGAGTGGGAGGTCGTTACGTCATAACGTGCTACAAAATGTGGCACGCTGTGACGTCACACGATATTTCAAATTAAAATATCGTCAAAAGTATTTAATTTTGTGAGAAAAGAAAAAATACGTGTCTTAAGTTTTAATTAATCTACCAGACGGACATTAAAATAACATTTAGGAAACTACTCTATTATATCTAACGTTGAAATACTCAAACGCCACTCAATTTTGAGTCTTGCTTAAGTATAGTTCTGTCTCTACAAATTCTTTGTACAACGACAGAGATGGCACGATATTTAAGTACAATTTAAAATTTAGTAACCTTTTAGTATTCGAGGGAAGATTTGTGTATACGTTATAGCTTAATATAAAGTGTAAACCTTTTTACATAAATTATTAAGTAACTATCTTATAAAGTCCGGTAAAATGGGGTGAAAAGGGATCGAGAGGTGAATAGAGACAGAAGAGGGGTGAAACGATATGTCGAAACGATCATTAGTACGGGATTTCGATTTACTACGCGCGATCTTTATTCATTTTGTTGTTATTCCTTCGTTTTGTAGTAAATCAAAATACCGTTCTGAGAGATACTTTTTTTATGGCATAAGCCGATAAACGAGCAGACAGATCACCTAACGGTAAGCAATCGGCGTCGCCCATGGACAACCGGAACACCAGAGGCGTTACAAGTGCGTTGCCGGCGTTTTGGGGATTAGGAGTTTGAGGATCGTTGGGGATTCAGGGATTGGGGAGATTGGAGAAGGGGACGGTAATTGGGCCGGTAACCTCACTCACACGACGAAACACACCGCAAGCGTTGCTTCACGTCGGTTTTCTATAAGGCCGTGGTATCACTCCGGTCGAGCCGGCCCATTCGTGCCGAAGCATGGCTCTCCCACACTTATGAAGTACTATGAAGAACTTCCAATTTCTATTTACCCCTCTTTTGTCTCTATTCACCTCTCGATCCCTATTCACCCCATTTTACGGCATCACAATCACAATAAATATTAAACACACACAAAAATGTCAGCATTATAAAAATATGAAATACAAAATGTTTTCGAATAGTGTGACAAGATACAAATTCAGTTTTCAATAGACACGATTTCCAATGCACACACCTTTTCTAGAGTTCAACCGTGTTGCAGATATGCGACAAATAAAGCACTCTCATACGTAAAATAAGTTTATTCGAGATTTTCTTCTTTAAATGGAGAAAACTTGTCAATAGAGTTTAAATTGGGTATTGTTATTAAACCAAGAAGTTTCTTGCTTTGCCGTATAATTTTAATGAAAGAAGAAGATGAAGAAGAAGAATGAAAAAACATTTATTAGACAATAGGCACACAGATACAAAAAAATACAAAATTAAAATCGAAAAGAACAAATAAATACACACATTTATATTGATATAGAAAAAAAACACAAAGAAACGACAGAGTTTATACTCTGTATTATTGTGTTATTATTACTTTATTTATTATTACATTATTACTTTGTTATTATTGTTTATTACTACTGTGTTGTTATCAACACAGTGACAATACAATAATAACACAGTACATAATTAAAATTAATAAAAACTATAAATAAATAACATTTAACGGCGCGTGCCCTTGCCAAAAGGGCCTCCATCTCTATTTAATGTGATTACAATTCATAGTTATAACAATGAAAAACAGTTTTTTCCAATTAACTCAGGTCACACAAAAAGTGGGATAAGAGTATTAGAAAATATTATCTACATTTTAAACTGCGCATAAGTGTGCGCATTTGCATTGGTTGGCTTACTTAATCTTTATGAGTTTCTGTTGATCGAAGGTTTCAATACTGACTAGTTACGTAAACACATTTCGCAGTGATCAAAATTATGGGCATAACATAACATCACGCCTTTTATCCCCGAAGGGGTAGGAAGAGGTGCAATTATGCTGTACAATGTAACGCCCACTTTTCACTATTTTTATGGTATGAGTCTCATGCAATAGGGGGTGGGTCTATTGCCATATACCGGGCACAATTCCAGACTCCGTGCTACTACTGAGATTTTTTTTAAAAACCCAGTAATACTTTGCCTGACCCGGGAATCGAACCCGAGAACCCTCGCCCGGCAGTCGTACTTGCGACCACTCAGCCAACGAGGCAGTTTAATATAATGGAATTTCCACTATATTATTATCTATCGCTACAAAGTACCTATTACAAAGTAATGATGATCTCCGAACATCCCAGGATTTATATCATCGACGTGTCCTAATAAATCCGAGTCATAATAATTTTGCAAAACATAAAATTATTTTATATCTCCAGTTCCGTTGAATCTCGTTCACGACATAGCATTTTTATATCTATTTTTTATTACTATGACCGTAAGAGAAAATTTTGGTGCAAGATGAAAGTGGTAGCGGTTTGACTGCAGTGAGTTTTTAGTGCAAGTTTTTTATTTTCATTTTATTATGGGTAAATAAAGATGTATTTTATGATTTTTGCTGCAATTATAGTATGTTTGTCTTCTAGAAACATAAACTTTTACTTAGTGGAGATTTAACCAATTCTATTGTAAGCAATAGCAATTAGGTAATCATTATTTTAAAGTAGGTATCTAAACACCAACCAAAGGCATATTACTTATTATACTAAAGGCATATTGTATTTGACATTATCGAACTTTAATTTACATAACATAACATCACGCTTTTAATCGCCGATGGAGTAGGCAGAGGTGCACATTACGGCACTTAATGCCACTGTACAATCTAACACCCACTTTACACTATTTATGCTATGAGTCCCATGTAATAGGGGGTGAAGACTATTGCCATATACCGGACACAATTTCAGACCCCGTGCTACAACTGAATTTTTCAGTAGTATTTTGCCCGACCCGAGAATCAAACCCGAGACCCCTTGCTCGGCAGTCACACCTGCGACCACTCGGCCAACGAGGCAGTCTTTATCGTACATTAACCCTTAACTATCCAGAAAGCTTTTGTGACGTAACTGACCAGTAGTGTCCAACAGACTCATTTTATAATTATAAGGTATGATGAAAGAAAAGAAAGATATTTTGAATGAAAAAGACAGTATAATGTATTTCAGTAATGTGTATTTACACTGATTTACTTATAGATATTACAATTATTATTTTTTTCAGAATATTCAGTGCATGTATTGCGTTTGCATTCAGCACAACACTGTTTAGAAGCACTTGATAATTTCGAAGGGAAAATATTACAACGCTTCTTCTTTTTTCCATTGTAGGTTGATATATTGGATTGCCAAAGATAGGGCACCAGTATTCTCTAAAATCTACACCTCCCTGTTTATTGACGCTTATAGTCAATAAAAGACCTCGGAGTACTTGCATTTCGATTTTATATCTATTAATTTCCATCGATTTTGTAAAACTCTAAGCCCTTCAGTATTTGTATATTTTACTATTATTTGTAATACGTGATCGTCGAAAAAAAAGGCTGAAACTGTCTATCGGATCTATTATAGTTTGGCCCGGAGGAGGAAGAATCACCTTATGGATACCACCGCGAATTATGTTGTGTCGAGGCGTTCGGTTTTGCCTGTTAGGTTCTGATTTCCACGTTGTTATCTCTTCCTTTATAAGTGTAAATTGAGACTTATTCTTGTAATCATCATCACTCTTACTCCATAATTGTTCATCATCGTTTTCAGATGCTGGTTCTGTGACATTACTTTCACTATCAGAACAGCTGTCAACAGCAAAATTCTCATCATCACTATCGCACTCATGGACAAAAATGTTTTCATCGTCACTTTCAACAAGGGCACGTTGTATTTCACTTTGTGTTAGTTGCTGTTTAGCCATAACATTCAATAAAAACGAATTAGAACATAACTATATTATGACAAGAGTTTCTGATTACTGGTACGTGATACGATTACAAAAACTATGATGATAACACAAACAAAGGTCTAGCAACCGCTATTGCCTACCCGACACCATAAGATTATAGGTAAATGTAAATAAAACAATCTACCTTCACACTTGAATCAAATAAAATGATATTGTGTCTGTTGGACACTTCTGGGTTGATGAAGTACTATTTTCGTTTATTGACCAAAAATAATAAATTATTCACGTTACAAATATTTTCATTGCACATTTAGATTCGTAAAACATTGGCGATAAATTAGATAAAAGGCCAATTCATAAAAATAAAAACTTTAGTTTTTATGAAAACATAAACGCAAAATTGTGTCCGCGAGACACTTGTGGGTTGTTAAGGGTTAATTTATTTATCTCGTTTCTACATATTCGCATCAGATAACAGTAAGACTTTTCTACGAGACAAGCGTTTTCACGTTGTAATCTCTTAACTTAGCCCACAACCCACGATCACACGTTCCCCGTAGCATACAATCGTATTGCAAAGGTAATAGAATCTGCTACGTTTATTGCCAGCACAGACATAGAAAACACTCGGCAAGGAATTGAAATACAATGAGTATCATTTTATTGTGGCGGGATTGAAGCTAAACGTGGCGTGTATGCCACTTTAGATAGCTAACTGTGAAGGAGGTATTGATTTTTACGTCGATTTTTTAATGGTATCTGCAGTTGTTACAGTTGTAAATGAAAGGTGTTTAAGGTTATTGTAGAGAATATATAGAGAAGTGTCGTGTCAATAACATTTCTAACTAACCTAGATTTTAACAGTAAACCCTGGTGGCGGGTATTCTACGAAACAGTTGGCAAAGATTATTAAAATTTTATTAAGTGAGGTAATTTTTTAAGTGACAAACATTTTTAATTTTTTTTTATAACGTTGCGTGTCGTGGGTGCGTTTACATACAAGTTCACATACACAATGACACTCAGACCCGAAACAACGATTTGTGGATCACACAAAGTGTTGTTCCATGCGGGAATCTAACCCGCGACGCGTTGCACAGCAGCCGGTTGCCCAGCCACCACAAACCGTGCAGTCGGTTTGTATTTGTCTCATATTTGAGTGACGCAAATTATATTATTTTTGAAGTAACAAAGAAGAAATCCTCATCGGTACTTACAGTGCAATCCTTGATATTTAATATTAAAATCATTATGACAACATAGTTTTTGTACAACCTTTTTTTCAAAGCGCCCAAGACGGACATACACTGACCAGATTGGCGACTCATTAAAGAAGGGCCAAATAAAATCTTAACCGACGAGCATGCATGAAAAGTGTGATGACTGTTGATGAGGCGAAAGAGGTATGTAGGAATCATAGTTGGCGTTCCATAGTCTCTGCCTACCCCCATGAAGTGAACCCACGTGAAGTTATGTACGTATGTATTTTGTCCAAACACCGATACCGCTGTCATTTAGAAGACTCCGCTTATTAATCAAACTGTCATATAACATTCTATCATACACAATCTCATTTACCCATTTACCCCAAAGGATACGAATGTAACATTACCATACCTTATTACTCGAACTATCTCCCTATCGCCTCAATTGCTAATTTGACTCAACATACAACTTCACGTCGAGTCCAATTTAAATGTTTATTGGAAATGCCTCGTGAATTTGACTAGACAATAACACTGTATTACTAATCGTGACATTTGAATACACAATTCATGTATTATATTAGAGGAGAAAGATTCAGATTACATAACCTGATGCTTATCTTCCAAGGGGGTTGGTACAGAATGTGAAACGACAATTGGGTTGATGACAGGGTATGAAAATTAAAAATATAATTAATCCGTAAGTTAGGTAATGAAAAAATATTAGACACGTATTTTTTTATTTTGTCGTATAATAAAACAATACTTGGATAAAACGAATCAAAGTTCAGGAGTGGGGGCTAAAACGTCATTTCTTAGTATAAAATGTACTGAGAAGTGACGTCATGCGACATTTCAAATCAATATATCTTCGAAACTATTCGTTTCTGTGAGAAAATAAAAAATACGTGTCTAATGTTTTTAAATAATCTATCAGACGGACATTAAAATAAAAATTAGTCGTCTACCCTATTGCTATAATTTTTGTCTGACTTCAAAAAAAGGAGGAGGAGGTTCTCAATTCGACCGTGTATGTTTTGCTAAATATCTTTCCCTTCATAAACGGTCATCAGTCGTTTCATGCGTATTCGTCGGTATATATTGTTTTAAAATTAAGACCAGCCTAGGTTCACAGTGTATGAACATAAAAAACCTATTAAATTCGTTATTAGGACTGATAATGAAAAAATACATAGTGCAAAATACAGTGCATGTCATCTCAACTAGTACTACTAAGTGCCTAATATGTGTTATTGTATCTTTCTTTTAAATTTGCATGCCTTTAAGGTAGAATATGGTTAATGGACACTATTTTGTATAAGACCTTTTTTTTGTACCCATGTTCGCAAATGAATAAATGATTTGATTTGATTTGATTCATCATCATATAAGAAAACAGTACTGAGATATAATGCATTCAAGTTTAGAAGTGGGAGCAGGCTATGTCAATTTTATTCTAAGTATAAAATACAAATAGAAGTGACGTCACGCGAAATAATAAATCGATATACGTATTAATGGCATAGAAAGTCATTGTTTTCGTAAGAAAAAATAACTTTATTATAACTTTACAATAATCTATTGTCATCCCTATTTATATATCAGTAGAGTGAGATTTAGATTGTGTTTCGAAATTAGGACCATCCCAGGTTGAATAGCGGTTGAATAACATTGACCTGGGGCAAGTGCTTGAATAAATTGTAGAGGACATTAAGAGGTGTTTTAGTTAGTGAATGGAAGGATTTAGATTACCTATTCAAATCCTTTGGTAGCAGTAATGGGTGGTTAGTAGCGTAAAATAAATGTAAATTAAAAATCTTTGATGCGTTTAAGAGACAAATTGGGGCCTGTTTTCAAATGAATTCTTTGAGGGACTTCGTAATAAAAGAATTTGTGCTGTAGTTATTATGGAAGGGTCAAGAAAATAATATGATATATTTTTAGTAATCTAAAAGCATCATAAAGTATATATATATTATATTCCCCTATGTTCCATACGCTAACATTTGTTTAATTAAAATATACTATAAACAATCCAGAAATTGTATAGATTTAGCTGTGGAGTTGAATTCTGTTATAACAAATTGTAGTACGGAAAATTCCATGACAAAACTTAACTTTCACGATTCTATCTTTAGAATAATATTCTAATTTATACTTGACATTTCTATTTCTCTGAAATGATATCGACTAAGTAGTATAAGAGGGAGTCAGAATAAACGGTACCTATAAATAAATACGGCGTCTTTAACATAGATAAAAGATATTCAAGGTCAAAACTAGATAGAAAACTAGATTTTATGCAGAAGCAGTATAATTAAAGTCCATTTAGTTATCCTCAATTTATACGTATAGGTAGGAACACAATAATTATGTATATCATTCTTCAAGCGTTTTACTTTTCAACTAAAACTTGGTCCAACTTTGCGATCAACGCTCATAAATTCGGGATGTCTTTAATTCCACAGTTACGTAAGATTCTTAAACCGGAATTTGCTTCCACAACTTCATTAAAATATTTTGTTCAACAGATTTCTTCGACGAAGGTTTCGGAATAAATTTCTGGTAGAATCTTCGCGTTCTTCGTCATTAATTAAGTATTCGTTGTAGCTATTAATAAATCTTAGAATTGACAGGCGCTGACGCTGATTAGGTTTTTGGTTCTCATCTCAGAAGGATGGATGTTGTGGTGGATTAAACAATTAACGGTGAAGAGGAGATTTAATGAATTACTTGAGAAGTTCTCTTTAATGAGATTTTATACGGCTTCATCGTTAGTTATTTGTGGAACGATAGTTGAGTAATATTCAAAATACATTTGCTTAAAATGATGCATATTTTGAAGTCTATTTGGCAACAGGCTACAAATTATAGAAATTAACATAGCACGAATTACATTACCTCCTTGACTTTTGAATCTATATCTGACGAAGAGATGTCTCTAGAAGGCAATTTAGCCAAATAGTAGTAAACCAAGTTCATTACCTGTAATATTCTTTCGTCCAGGAGTATTGACTGCCACCCTGACCACCAGTTGCGTTCCTCCTCGCGGTCCAAGCCGGAGTCGCTCCGTGACATACAATGCTCCTGTGCTTGCAAACGCCGCACCAGCGCTAAGTGCCAGGAGTGCAGTAACCTAGAAAGCAGAAGAATTAAAGAAAAGATTAAAAATACTGAAGCATGTGAAATTGTTTGTAAGTGTGGGAGAGCCATGTTTCGGCACGAATGGGCCAGCTCGAACGGAGTGATACCACGGCATTATAGAAAACCGCCGTGAAACAACGCTTGCGTTGTATTTCGTCGTGTGAGTGAGGTTACCTGAGGCCAAATTACCCCCTTACCCAGTCTTTTTAATCCCCGAATCCCCCACAACCCTTAAATACCCAATGCCAAAGGCCGGTAACGCACTTGTAACGCCTCTGGTGTTTCAGATGTCCGTGGGGGGCTTACTAACAGGTGATCCGTCTGCTCGTTTACTGGCTTATCACATAAAAAAGTAACAATGTATCCTCAATACGTAGGTATTTGTTTTAAATAGGTCCAGAGTGACCATTCTCTCATCTGAGCCTGAAAACTGATCTATTGACTGACACTGATATTCGGAGAAGACTTTTAATACAGGTAGGTATATTGGCTGTAGGTATATCGAAGAAAGTAAAAAGGTAAGAACTTAATAGCTCTGCTTAGAATATGATTTCTCTGGATAAGATTAAAAACCAATTACCTATTTTGCCATTCAACGCACTGCTAGTCTTCTGGGAACGTTCCTCGATGACAGTGATGCGGATGAGTACTTACTAAGTACGCCTAATTAAGGGTATTTTATTGTTGTTTTTTTTTAGTTTATTTTTATGGGACAAGCCCGCCACAACCTCCCAAACACTGCAACTTCTATAAACCAGGATCTACAATAGATACAACCACGAAAACACCAGAACACTGAAGTACGGCGCATCCAAGGGAGGGACATGAAAAACTGTCTTGGTTCCCGCAACAAAATGAATCAGAAGATCTTATAACAGGAGAAGAAAAAAAACAATAGTTTCGACTTCCCTCAGTGAATTACTGCAGGAGACAGAATGAATTAAGGTACAAAAAGAGACTACAAATGGGAGAACCCCATTGCCAAGCACTGCGGAAATTTGACTAAAAGATTAAGTGGTTATAGTATTACTTATTCAAGTTTAAATTAAACAACTAGACCAGACAGAAGTTTCATGGTATTATTAAATGGTTTAAACAACGTGCTGTAGCACTTAAACTAATTACTCCTTGTACAAAGTCGTTATCATCTGGAAGCATGCCCGAAAGACTGGCAGCATTAGCATTTTGGAAAACAATGCCAAATCTTTGGCTCATAAGGAGAGATAAGTTTCAGCAATCAAATTATATCTAGTTGCCATTTTAGATTTCTTTTCGGTAAAGTGCACAGGTAAAATCACAACCAAAAGTGAGTATAATTTTGATTAAAAAGTTAATGTTGCAATAAAAGGTTTGACATAACATCACGCCTTTTATCCCCGAAGGGGTAGGCAGAGGTGCACATAGAAGTAACACCCACTTTTCATTATTTATGTTATGAGTCCCATGTAATAGGGGGTGAGCCTATTGCCATATACCGGGCACAATTTCAGACTCCGTGCTACTACTGAGAATTTTTAAAAACCCAGTAATACTTTGCCCGACCCGAGAATCATTCATCAATCAAGGAAACCAAGAAAATCAAAAACCCGGAAAACGGTTTGACAGTCCTGATAATAATTAATTCCAATATCTCAAAACTTACTTGTAAATTTACTTTGTTGTTACTTACATACGTCAGTAGATACTAGATTTACGATATAAAAATATACGAATCTAACCTAATTAGGACGTGTATTCAATATAAAAAACAATTTCATCATAACTTTTTCAATCAATCGAAAGGTTAACTAACAATATAGGGACCAAACAGCTCTCTCTATACGCTATACAGTAATAGATATTTAACCTTCCACTCAAGATCTCACGTTCCAATAATAAGAAAAGAATAACAAAGCTAAAATGAAATAGGAAAGGCAATAATTCTATGTTTTTCTTTCGTCGAGAAGTAGGGAAGTGGTATATTTTCGCAATAATCGATATGATATTAGCGCAAAATGGAATTTCTCGAGGTGTCGCCGTCTAGAGTTGTCCCAGAGGTGCAAAGTCAATAGCGAGTAGCGTTTGTTATTAAAGCGATAGACACACGTTTGAATTTTAGTGGATAGGATTGAAAAAGTTTTTATTTTTAATGTTTAGTTTTCTGGGCCTACTAATACATTACATGTGATGCTAGAAGGACACAATTCCAACCTTGAAATCAATGTTTCCGCAATGCTATCAATAATTGAAACTCAATAATACAAAAATAAAAAAATTTGAATATTAAGATACCTAACAGATTTAGAATAAAATTACAAAGGCACTTATAATAGCTTTCCAAAATTGTCAAGAATATAATTTAAAAAAACATAAAATGAAATAGGCAGTAAATAACAGTCCAAAGAAGCAGATTAAAATTATTTTACGAAGCATTTTGTAAAAGAATATTATTATAGAAGGATTGTAAAATAAAACGTAATCAGATCTTGAATCTTGATATAATTAATTGCGGCGTCAGTAATGAAGTTGTAATATCCAATTCATTTTGTAATACCGCATTTTACTCCATATTTTATTAATAAACGCAAATGGAGATGCCGAGGCGCTTCGCCGCCATTTTGAAAAATAGAACGTGTAAAGTCCGTGCGAAAGTAATATTTATTCATGTTAAAGTATTATATAATACATAATCTATATATATAAAAATGAAACCCGTTTCCCGTTGTCACGCCATAAGTTGAGAACGGCTAGACCGATTTGGCTGATTTTTTTTGTTGAATTTATCATTGTCACGAGAACGTTCTTATGACAGAAAAATTATATGAAAATTCTACGAAGTCCCAGGCAGAAGCTAGTATTATATAAAATACAAAATATTTATTCTAAGTAGGTAAGCGAATGATAAACATTTAATTAAAAAAATAAACATAACATTATGCTTCATTGGACAGTTTCTCCGTGCGATAAGAGACCTTTGGTCAGCCGTGGCCACTTATAGGCTGTTGATGTCGTTATTGTTGGTCAGTATTATTATAGGCCACATTTCAGAATTAACTTTTGACCTAGTCTTCAGTTCTTAGATATGTTATTAAATTAAAGCCCGTTGTTCGTATATGTATACCTACTTAGAGTGCATTGATATGTTGATTAATTAGTAAGAGTTTCGTTTCATTTCAATTATCATGTAAAATACAATCTAAATCTAAATTTAGTACAAAATCTAAGTTTCATATAAAACTTTCCCAGTATCAAGAAACCTCATGGCCACACTCCATACCCATCAGTCTCAAAGTGTGATTTGTAGTGTTGATTCGTCAGATATTTGGGCCAATAGGGGTGGGATAAAGGGTGGGAAGGAGTCGTACAGGGGTGCACAATTATCCCCGAACGGATATCTCCCCAAATAGTACAAGGTATTTACCTTATCTTGTAGCGAGAATATTTTAATTTAAGAGTCTCGCCTGTGATTTATCGTCCAATTTAAGTGTTTCAAGTGTACCTTTGAATGTGCTTCGTTTGTTATAATTGCATGAATTCTAATGAATTCGTTTACGTTATATTTACAAAGGACTTTATGGAATATTTTCTGCGTTTTTTCCTCTTTATTAATATACATATTTTTTTAGTACCTACTTGTTTGTTTGGTTTGTTACTTGGGGCTTGGGATTGTGTTCGTTGCTTTTCAATAACTTTAGGTGTTCAGTTTTTGATAACAAACGTACGTTAAGATGTTAAACAAGTAAACAAAACAATTAGTACGTTTTAATATTTCTTTTGAAAATATTACGATAAAACTGTATGTAGTAATTCAACTACAATATCTTTTATTTTACGTATAGACGATAAGATTTGTATTCATGACATCCTTCAACCAACATCTAGAATCTGTAACAGTACTAGCAAGCCATCATATGAAAACTACGACCATTTCTATGATATCGTGCCATAAAAACCATTGTTCACTCGATAAACCCTATCGAACCCAAACTAAGCGATGGCCACATGTGATACCAATTTGTTTGCGATCGGCGTCGCTCATCGAATCCCGATTAGGGATTCCGTGGATGATCCCAGCGATTCAGACGCGAATCCCGGCAAATGGAGCGATTAGGCAATCTACCCGCTTAAAGCGCTTCAAACTCAAATCAGCGTGTGGGAGCACCGATGTACGGGGACAATGTTTGTATAGCGAATGCTTTAGCGTCTCGGAAATAAGGGGTTGGTTCGTAATTCGATGAATTCGATTTAGTTAGCATTATTGAAAAACAATTTCCAGAATAAATGCAAACAATATGGCATACAATCGCCAATGGAAGACGATATTTTAGTTTGTATGAAACAATATCTGCTTTGTCATTTGTATTTTACTGTACATTTTTTATATCGTAATTTATAACTCATTTTATTATTATGATTCATTGCAATACTGACAATTCTACAGCGATACAAGTGCCAAACACACAATTCCAAATCCCATAAACTATACATACTACCAGTTATAAACCATCTTACGACAGACATATTTATTTCAACCGATATAACTGTGAAGAAATTTTAATAACAAAACTAAGAATTTTGCTCGATACCCTAGTCTTCTGTATGTATTATACCTACCAGTCGATTGGAATTAATTCTAAAGCCACTTGCCTTGTTTCTATTGATAGGTAGAAAGCTTAGTAAGACTGGGAGTCGAATAATACCAATAATGTCGATTGGAGCTAAATACCAGGTAATTTACTTTGAACTCAGGATTCAGGTTGCCTCGCAGGAATGCCGATTGTGGGTTTATGTGTATCTAATTATACTGTATTAATAGGATTGTTGGTAACTACTAAGTGAAGTTTATATTTAGGGAATGTCAAGCTTGTTACTTGAAGAGGAAACTATAAATTGGACCTACCTACATAGGGGAATATCATGTATGTAATATTCTAAGGGGTACAAATGTTAAGAGGACCTTGTGCAATTTTTGTTTGTATGAATGTTTCGATGTTTGTCAGTCAATCACACTAAAACTACTGAACGGATTTTGATGAAATTATACATGAGTATAGGCGGACTTAGGTAATAGGATACTTTTTATCCCGATGAAATCTTCGCATGGGATAAAACATGAATCATATTCTACGCGGACAATGTCGCGTGTAACAGCAAGTATTACATATAGTAACACAATAACTTATTTATTCTATTCTCAGATTGTCCATTAGGTAGTTAAACACATACGTCTTGTTTGCTAGTAATGTCTTAATTTTTGTTGAATTGGTAATTCTAGTTTAAGATCTATCTTACGTATAAATAAGCTACAAAAAATAAGCTGGTCAAGGGATCTCGGGTTCGATTCCCGGGTCGGTCAAAGTATGACTGGGTTTTAAAAAATCTCAGTGGCCCACCCCTCATATTAAATGGGACTCATAGTTAGACTAGAAAAGTGGGTGTTATATTGTACAGCGGCATTAAGTGTTGTAATGTGCACCTCTGCCTATTACTACGGGGATAAAAGATGTTATGTAAATAAGCTACAATACCAAACCTTGTTGATGAACTCACAATTATAAGAACAAAAACCCATTAGTACTTTTCTCAATGAAAGACTAGACCAGAAGACCTACACTCTATTGTTGTCGCGGAGAACCTAACGGGTAACCGGGGCTCCGGCTCGACGTGTAGGAGAAGGAACGGGGTGGTTTTTACTCAGTAAGAGTCTGACACTCCCTCCCGCCTCACCCAGGCGGGAGCAGTCATTCGATGATTTTCCCCCCTTAAAAAAACACTCTATTGTTGCTATTAAAAGTGGTCTATCGTTAAAACTGGGAATGTTAAATATAATTAAAATAAATTGGCTTTCCCTGCCCAACCCTTGTATTGCCGAGAGCAATATACATAATGGTATGTATACGTAATGTTACATTGATGATGAAAGGGGGACGAGGTTTGAGTTTAATTCCGGGTTCAAGCAAAAAGTATTTTTTCTTATCATGAAGAGAAATTGCTCAATATTTTTCAGATATGTTCTCTCTACAACATATAAATACGTTCAATCGAATTCTGGAACTTATTTAAATGAAAATGTTTATATACTTTCAAAATGTTTTATACGGCAACTGGCTGCCGCGCAACGTGTTGCGGGTACGATCAACGCACGGAACTCTTTGTGTAATCCACAAATTGTTGTTTCGGGTCTGGGTGTCTTGTGTATATGAACTTGTATGTTTGTAAACGCACCCACGACACAGCAGAAAAACCTAGGGTAGGCAATGTACTAAAAGAAAACTCATAAGTAAACATAACTATTCAGAAATAAGTAGATGAACTGCTAAATTACAAAATTCCAAGAAGCCTGGAATTTGAATTGTTTCAAGAACTATCTAGTAAAAGGTAATCTCTTCCAGTGTTCTAGTTAAATCTTGGAAAAATTAGATACTATACATGTTTGCTAGACTTCAAAATCAATATTAGATTACAGCACGGTTGGTGCGGTAGCTGGGCTATCGACTGCTGCGTATCGTGTCGCAGGTTCGATTAACGCACGGAGTAACTCGTTGTGTGGGTAAACCGGGTATTTTTAGGGGGGGGGGGGAACAATTGATTTTATTTTCCCACCTGGGCGAGGCGGGAGGGAATGTCAGACTCTTACTGACTAAACACCTCTCTGTTCCTACTCCTGCATTTCAAGTCGGACCCTTTTATGTTATACGCGGCTCCGTATCGGCATCAGCCATGTTGGGCCCCACTCGTGGTGGTCAGATGTCTCTTTGAGGAACGCGACGCCGTCATACGTTCGGGTCTGGTTCTGGTCGGACGGCGAGCTACCATGCTACCATCCGCAGGCAATGTGTATATGAACTTGTATTTTTGTAAACGCACCCACAACACAGAAAAAATCCTATTAGGGCAGATTTTTGTTTAAAATGGAACATATTGACGTCATTGACTTTGAAAATTATTATTATTATTAGTTACAGCATTGTTACATTAAAATATGAAACACACAAAACAAAATCAATTTAAACATTTTGAAATAACGAACAAACAAATTCGCGGATATTTAAAATCCTCAAAACAAACACGACCTTTGTATAAATAATGGAATCCGTTAAAATCATAATATTTGTTTAGGATACAACCATTGGATTTGTGATATTTTAATAATGTTTCTACTGTACTGATTACCTTTTGATGTTAAATCGTATCATTAATCATGCTCGCTCTTCTACGAAAGAGTAAACAGAACTGTACCTATGTAGGTACCTGTAGTAGGTATGTAAATTCAGTTACATACACATATTGTTAATGGAAAATATTCCTCATACCATGCGTCAGTTATCATTTTCGGAAATATCGAAAATTTGATCTGGGAACTAAATTCAGTGTTAAGTTTTTTTATTGCATATGATGGTTAACGAGGAGATGGACCACGTGATGATAAGCAATCGGTACCACCAGTAACACCAGAAGATTTACAAGTAGGTTACCGGCCTTTTAGGGTTTTGAGAATTGAGGATTGGGGACAGTTTACTTAGACACTAGGGTAGCCACCCGTACTTTATAATAAAGTATTGTACGTTATTTAAGGTACTTAATTGTACTCTATACTTTATAAGAATAATAAAGTACACGAAAATACTTTATTTTTCAAACTTCATTTCTATTAAAGTCGTAAGTATTTTTCGGTAAACTTATCGATTCGTTAAGTACCTATTTCAATGCAATTGTTTAGTAAAAATACTTACTAATTTAATACAAACTGCAAAAAGCAATAAAAATATATTTTAAAATATAATACTACTTAAATAAGAATAAATTGTACTTTATTTTTGTACTATGTATTTTTTTTTCTTACCTATAATCGTCAATGTAATTTAAATTCCAAAAAAAAAGGTGGCAACCCTATTATACACCCCACACTCGTCACAGATTAATGAAAAATATTATTTATAGCGTCGTCCTACGTTTTTGTATTTGATACTCAATTAAAGATTTAGTCACCAATAAATAACAATTAGGCAAGAGACACTACCCAATTACAACCAAACGATATCTAATTACGCTCAACTAAGAAAGCCAATTGTTTCTCAATCCATCTTCTTCTAATTTATCTAAATTAAGTCGTGTGAAGCTGATGAACCTAATACAATTGAACTTAAACCCTAGCTTAGCGGGATACGGCCTGTTCCGTGTGAGTGCGTATTTACAATCGATTTAGCTGAACCTGCCCATCCAGCTATCGAATCAATTGGGTAAAACGAGGATATATTTGGCTTAACAAAATAAATGAAGTTGTTTTGTCTGTATTACAGACTTTGGCAGAGGTTCTTTTTAGATATCTTCGACAGGTTTGTTACATAACTAAATAATATAGTTTTTTTTGTTTGTTTATTATAATAGGGAAGGGAAAAACGCTTCCTATTGTTTAACATTGGAATATCAGGTATCTTTGTTAGAATTTGTAAAACTTCATTATAATTGGTACCTAAATAATGAGTTCACTGAATCCTAACTGTCCAAAACAAAATAATCCACTATAAACAGTTATGGTTATGACATGGATTAACAAGGCAGTCATTGTAATGAATAAAAATTACTACCATTCAAAAACGTGTAAATTAATTAACCCGTATCTGATACACATAACATAACATCACGCCTTTAATCCTCGAAGGGATAGGCAGAGATGCACATTATACCACTGTACAATGTAACGCCCACTTTTCACTATTTATGTTACGAGTCCCATGTAATAGGGGGTTATTGCCATATACCGGGCACAGTTCCAGACTCCGTGCTACTACTCAGAATTTTTAAAAAACCCAGTAATACTTTGCCCGACCCGGGAATCGAAGGTTTCTTATATAAATAACAAAATGTATACTTACGTCCATACAGTTATTGATATTGTTAGTTATCTTGACATCGACTTCCACTGTCTCTCCGACTTTCAGAGCTGGTGGTAGGGAGAAGTCCAGTTGTATAGGGCGGAAAACGTTGATCGTTCGAGGTGCAGAGAATCGAAGGCCATGGTTTGAAAGGGAGAGGGCCCAGAGAGACCAACGACCGGCTTCGGAGGGCGCTGAGATGGTGACACCGTCTGTGGACAGCTGGTTCCTGATAAACAATAAATTAAGTTAGTGGTATCTCATAATATCACACTTACCCTTTAAGTTACTTTTTTGTAAGTAATTATAAGTAAAATTATAGCAGTTTTTGAAAATCATAAAGAAAATTTTGGCAATCGTGATTATATCCTCCTAGTGGCATTATAATGGATTAGCAATTAAACTTCGTTCGATAACATTATGTCTTGTCTTTCGTGCGGCCTTTACTTATATTTAGTTAAGAACTAGGCAAGAGTCCTATATAGGTAATTTTAGAAGTATATAGGTACATACGGTAGTTTTTGGCTAAGTAACTCAATGTAATTGAAAAATACATATATTTGGGAAAATTGTTAAGTTTTAACAAAAGCAACGAAACACTAGAAATAGAAAGAAGACTACAATCAACATGGAATAAATACTGGCAATTAAAAGAAATTTTTAAAACTAATATACCTATAGACATCAAAACAAAGGTTATGAAATCGAGTCTCTTACCATGTCTGACATACGGATGCCAAACGTGGAAGTTACCTCCTAAAACCGCAAACAAAATTAGGACCTGTTAAAGGGGACTTGAGAGAAGCATGCTGAACATAAAGAAGATAGACAGGGTGAGACACAAAAATAAGAAAAACAACCAAAGCAATAGACGCTCTAACTTTCGCATTAAAGCAAAAATGGAGATGGGCTGGTCATATTGAAAGTGTACAGATGGGAGATGGACTGCGAGAGTAGCATCGTGGAGAGGCCCAATGGGTAAGAGAAGTCGAGAGAAACCACTAACCAGATGGAAGGATGATATAAAACGGACAGCTGGCCAAGACTGGCAAGACGTAGCACGAGATAGAGAGACATGGGCATCTTTGGAGGAGGCCTTTACCCAATCCGGGGTTCTTGCTGAATATACATAGAATTAGATAAATAAATCATTATACATACTGAAACTGTGCACAAATAAGAAATAAACGGCTATTATTTATTTATTTTTTTATTTAACTCAATGTAAACACACGTCTTTGCTCAACGAAAAACCATGAATATTAACAAACCTAATACATGAACAATACAAGTATATACATATGTATTTAGTGCATCCAGTTTCGTTTAAACCATGATTTTAGTAAAGGTATATCGTTAATTATTTCATACTACAACCCAGTTTACACGATGGAACAAAGGCTTTTCAATTTTGTTACGCTGAATTTATTACATGGATGTAAACTGGCCGGCGTATGTTAATTAAACTGAATAATGAAATGATTTTATCGGAAAACAATGTTGGTAACTAATTTAATATCAAAAACAAAGGTTTGATTTATGATTGAATGTTGGGAATACTTTTTAAAGTGGATTGTGTTTAGTTGTGTTGTGGTTGTATCGTCTGTTGTTATTGATTTGTTCTGTTTGGATTCGCTGGTTAGGGTAAAAGTGCTGTGGATTTAATCCCCGCATTGAACAATTTCTTTTGTGTTATACAAACTGTCCATCTGAATATAGTTGTTGTGCGTGTTAAATTGTAGGTATATTTCAAACACAGAAAAACAATCGTTGATTTTCACTTGCAAAAAAATGAAACAGTATTTCGTTTTTTCACTTTCATTCATTCCTTTACCATTAACTCGATTCTGTACAAAATATTTCATAAATAAAGGACTATTACCTTTAACTGTTGCCATTCTGAATTGAAAAGAATCTATTAAACTGTCAAATACCAAGCGGTCACCGGTGACCGCGACCTATTGTTCTTTAATTGTGTCTATAAAACCGGTACTCGACGAGTTAATAGTGGAATACTGAACACAACGAAATGAAATATGTTTTTGATAAAAAGAATTTGAATTCTAGGGTCGGGATTCCAAAAATGTGTTATTGCTTAGATTTTACAGTCATTTTGTTTCCTCAACTCAGAGATAAGGATACAATTGAAATATTCAAAACAATTTTGAAAAGCATAAAACGCATTTAAATATTCAGCTCGAGAACCTAACCAGAGAACCTGATTCCTGCAGGTATCATAACGGTTTGAGTGTATACTTACACAACAATAAGGTACTCCAACAAAAAATAAATTATTAAAACTGTAATGAAAAACTGCTCGCTAGTGGTCGCAAGTGCAGGGGGTCTCGGGTTCGATTCCCGGGTCGGGCAAAGTATGACTGGGTTTTAAAAAATTCTCAGTTGTAGCACGGAGTCTGGAATTGTGCCCGGTATATGGCAGTAGGATCACCCCCTATTACATGGGACTCATAACATACATAGTGAAAAGTGGGTGTTACATTGTAGGTACAGCGGTATAATTTGCACCTATGCCTACCCCTTCGGGGATAAAAGGCGTGATGTTACGTTATAAATAAACACACATTGTCGTTGTTATGTAATGAAAAAAAAACGCCTAAATCTCTATTTACTGTTTATTATTCTTTTCCGTTTATTACCTTATCCTTATTTTACCTCTTTCCTCTTAAAGCGGTAAAAGCAAGGAGGTAAGGAAACAAGTAGAACACCACGTCGGTCGCGTCAGCCTAAAAAGATGGACCTTTATCGAAAATTCAATATCAAATGACGTCATTTGTCACATTGATCCTCGAACATACGATAAGTTTCACCGCATGCCTCAAGGGGTACGCAAATTTTGGAAGCATAAAGTAAAAATATTGTAGAAGATATCGCTTTGTCTCCGTCGCATTGCCGGACGACGGTCGGACGACGGTCGGACGACGGCCGGACGACGGCCGGACGACGGCCGGACGATGACCGGACGCCGGAGCAAAGGGCCGTTTGTCTTGTTGTCTACTCATGACTTATAACACTCTGATATGATACATTTGACAAGTACTTAGATAGAGGATAGCTGAGACGTGTATTGTGTTACACTATATGAGAATAGTAAATCGATTTGAGTGAACGTCTGTGTTGTTTGTGAATATGATATTCCGGTAATTGAGATTATCATGTCTAATAAGCTTATTATTTTTTGAAGAGCTGTGCAAATGAGAAATTGCAGTACCTACCCAACATTTATTTACGTTAAATTTCCTTTAGTACAATTTCGAGCTAATCAGCTAGAATTTGGAAAATGGAAAAGCATGAACGCATTTTGTGAAATTTCTAAAATGTTTTATTATAACATCACGCCTTTTATCCCCGACGGAGTAGGCAGTGGTGCCCATTACGGCACTTAATGCCACAGAACAATCAAACACCCACTTTTTACTATTTATATTCTGAGTCCCATTTAAACGGGGTGAGCCTATTGCCATATACCGGGTATAATTCCAGGCTCCGTGCTACTACTGAGATTTTTTTAAAAACCCAACAATACTTTACCCGACTAGGGAATCGAGCCCGAGACCTCTTGTCCAGCGGTCACACTTGCGACCACTCGACCAACCAGTCATTTCTAAAATTAAATATCAATAACCTAAAACTTTGACTTCATAATTGTTAATCCGATTCAAAAAGCTTTTTTAATACTAATGGATCGTGGCTGCCTATTCAATGGAAACAAAAGAAAAAACAAAATAAAAAAACACACCAAAAAAAAACCGCTACCAAAAACATAACCGTATTAGGATAAGTATTACTTCTACATATATGTATATATCTCAGTTACTCTGCATCAGCAATTCGTCATTGGTTCACATTTATAACTTTTGCCAGCCAACAGATGAATCAGCGAATTGGATTTATGTGAGTTGACTTATTTATTACTACTGAACTCGAAGTTCAGTTTGGCAAGGTTCTATCCCGATTTTTCCTCTTCAAAGTTGGGAAAATAAGTTTGTGGTCTGCCTTCTCATATTGAACGGCTGAATGGCCATATTGGTTTAGATGTTTGTTTTTCTTTGTTAATCCCTTGGGAAGGTAAATTAGTTAGGTGTACATTGTGTGTTAGTTATGTGTTGGCAGTGCTTTGTGCAGTATTCAGAATTTATTATCCAATCCTTACTAATATTATAAATCAGAAAGTGAGTTTGTTTGTTTGTTTGTTTCGCTTTCACGTCGTAACTACTAAACCGATTGCTTTGATTTTTTGCAGACGTAAAGTTAGAAGTCCGGATTAAATAATAAGGTACTTTTTATCCCAGAAAAAATTGATATTCCCGAGGGAAAACTAAAGTATTGGTATAGATGGCGCTGTGTGTCACATAGGCTACTTTTTATCCTTTTGTGACGCGAGCGAAGTCGCGGGTAAATGCTAGTATTAGATAAAATAAACGAATAAGTGACACGCATGAAGGAGCCATATAATTAAAAGTATGTACTTACTCAACAGTTCATTATGCTTCGCTCAAAGTAATTTGTACATAAAACGAAACAGAATTCTCTGAATACAAAATAACAGGAGAGAATAATAATATTTCAGAAGGAATTAATTTCCAAGAAAAAAAATAACGAACATCACTTTACGTCCTGTAAAAATACCAAGAAAATGTTTCATCTAATTTGATATTTATAAAAGTTCAAACCTTTTCTATGTACCTCTGTACCCCTTAAAAGGATTAAGAATTGAAGAGATTTCAGGATTATGTATTTCAACCTTGTTTTAATAAAAGTGCGTAATATTTTAGCAGCAAAAGAAAATGTAAGGTGAAATTCTTGGAGATTATAACAAAGTTGTTTTCAAATGGAATCCTATTGAAGCTTACTCGTTAAAGTTACTAATTAATCAAATAATTTCCAACTAAATCGAAGTGGGAGGTATTTATATTAAAATCTTTGCCGAGTTACAATCTAAATGTAATTCTTTACGGAGTAGAAGTTACAAATTAATTTGTACCATTCATTTTTGGGATTTAGTTGTTTTGTATTGAATATCGAATTAATTATTTTACATTTCAGCTGTTTACAAATTGATATAGTGGCTGATATTTATTTTATTCTGTTTTTGGATCTCTACATATCTGAGTTTGTAAGAATAATATGTCAGTGTTGAAAAAAAAAAGTTATAAATCAGCTTAATCGGTAAGAATAAAAAACACAATATAATGTAATTTCGTGGTCAACGGCCATTGTGATCTTAAAATCATAAGGCTACTTACGTATAATTGAAACACTTCCACATCCATAGTCGGTCATGTGACGCCGGAGGTACCAGGTGTGCAGGCGCGTGAGGAGCTGGCGCGGTTCGTTGGCGGTACAACACACCACCACCGCAAGCACCGCCGCCGACAAACAGTGAAACCCCCGCAGATACAAACTCGGGGCCCGGTGCTTCTTCGTGTTCTGGTGTCCTGGTAGACAAAGGCAAGATTAATGAATAATTATTATCGGAGGTTGTTAAGAAGTCTTCTTTTATGATCAATGTTGATGTTATTTATTATTGTGTGGAGCTTAGTAGAAGCCTTTTTTTAAGTGGGGAAAATCATCGAATGACTGCTCTCGAATGGGTGAGGCGGGGAAAAGTGACTAGAATTATAACATCATAACATAACATCACGCCTTTTATCCCCGAAGGGGTAGGCAGAGGTGCACACAGAGGTAACACCCACTTTTCACTATTTATGTTATGAGTCAAATGTAAATGGGGGTAAGCCTATTGCCATATATCGGGCACATTTCTAGACTCTGTGCTACTACTGAGATTTTTTTTAAAACCCAGTAATACTTTGCTCGACCCGGGAATCGAACCCGAAACCCCTTACCCGGCAGTCGCACTTGCGACCACTCGCCCAACGAGGCAGTTATAGAATTATAACTACAATTACTAAACACGTTTTCCTATTACAATTATGGACCTACCTAAAACCGAGTTGAATTATGTAAAATAGATTAGTGACACAAACGTAAATAAATTGTCTCCAAAACGCGGAAGAAAAACAAAATGAACCTGACAAAGCGAAAAAACACGTAACACGAGGAAATGGAAGCGAATGTCTATCGCGCGATCTCAATAACAACGGAAACTCATCCGTGTATATTATACCAAATGAAAAGGCAGATATTTCCTTAGACAAACCTGAATGCCTATTGCGAGCCTTTTTTTCTTTAACGCGATCGATTAACCCTCTGATTGGTTGGTTAACTTGGAGCAAGCCAATCAGAGCGCTGAAGTCATGAACATGTCGATCACGTTAATGTAAAACACATTCGCACTAGGCCCTCAGTGAAGAGATGAATCGTGTGACATAATCCTTGGCACAGCTGCAGGAAGCGAGAACTTGAAAATACGGAGAAAAGTTTGACACGCACTCGCTGGGGATTCGAGATCGAAATCGAACAATTGTAACCGAAAACTGAGGTAAATATTTTGAATAAGATGTAAAATTATTTTAAAGTTATTTTTTGTGTGTTGGATTTTTAGTTTAAAAAAAGATGTACATATAATCTCCATCCATCTCAAACGCTTTCAACTTTACACACAGTGTAAGAGCATTTTTTTTATAAGGGAGGAAAATCATCGAATGACTGCTCCCGCCTGGGTGAGGCGGGAGGGAGTATCAGACTCTTACTGACTAAAAACCACCCCGTTCCTTCTCCTGCACGTCGAGCCGGAGCCCCGGTAACCCGTTAGGTTCTCCGCGACGAATGCTAAAGCATAGGAGATTTTTCATGTTTATTCGTTGATAGCATAAATAGATAGAAAGATAACTATTGCTTCCCAAAGTTACTTACGCCAGAAGTTATCTTTTAGTCAGTCCTTTATTTTTATTTAGCTATTGCAAAAGAAAATAAAGCGTCACGTTAAAGTTTCTCGATATGGACTTTGGAATGGCTATTGAAGTTTTTACTTTATAAAAAATCGCACTACTGACTTCTATTTTAATGAATTTTAAATTGCAATTAAAATAAAATAAAATAAAATTTAAATTGCAATTACCTACCACCAAATGTTATTGTGAGTCTAGACTAAATCTGCTCTGAATTTGGTAAATAATGATTTTATAGCAACGGAAATTCCTGATTTCTACAACGATACATCAATTAAAACAATAATATAACTAAATAGGAAACAAATAAGGATAATTTTAATATATTGTAAAATACACACAATGCCATCCTACGCTATGTTTTCACATACGAAGATGAATTGTCTGACGATAAATGATGTATGTCGCTTTGAGCGCTTTTGGTATTGTCACGATATTTGATTGACATCCTTGTACAAGCACCGCGAATTGTTTGAACGTTAGCAGCATATTTTGGCAAAATCCCGCCTCATACGACCATGTAAGGTAATGACAAGGGTAATTTATTTCCATGATGTATGCACGCGAATTTGGTTTAGAATCTCCCCAATGGCAGTGTGCAGTTGTGGTTATGTCTGTATCTATCAGTGTGAAACGGCTGGTAATTAATGGGATACAAGTAATATTATGTTATTCTCTATTACAATATGGAGTGTGTATATTGCACGGTATGTAGGTACCTGATAGAGAGAAAACATAGTAAACAGCTAAAACTGATAGGTCTCTGGGTTTTGGAATAAAAAGTGGTTCTATAACAAAATATGGGCACCAGATGAATGGGTTGAATTTAGCACATAATGTGGAATATAAAAATCCTTTTTTTTTTTTGTTGACGGAGGGAAACCTTCAAAAGGCGCGTAGCTTTTTTTGGGAAAAAAAACTAGAGAGTGTGGGATTTTTACCTTACTAAAACCTCCCCGGTGGCCACCATCCGCACCTAAAAGAGGCACCAGGTCCTCTTAGTAGACCAACCCCGGAGGAATATAAAAATCCTGTTAAAATGGCTGAAAGACCAGAGAAAGTTGGCGGAGATATTCTTATTAAACACAGTAAGAAATATAACACGAAACTGAAGAAATGACCGACGAGAAAACAAAACGAAAATAGGCAAACAGTAACATCATTTGCCTTGCTTTCCAAAACATCATGACATAGAAGTCATTGACCCTTTCATATACAGGGTGATAATAAAGGGATCGATAATCAAAATGGTTATAGCAACTATACAAAAGGTACATAATAGACTTGTTGCTAAAACTAATAATAATATCCATCCTGTTTACTAACAATATTATGCTAGAACTTTGTTCTGAATTGAAGGCCCAAGTTTATACAATAACAACGTTGTTTTAATTGTTTAACAATAAACTCTTGTTGAGTTCTCTATCAAAGTACGGGTTCTTTGTTCGCTGTTGAAGGGTAAGTGTAGGGAAGCTGTTTGAGGTAGAATGTTAATAATACCTATAATTATTTTGAAATCTAGCAGAGGGCATGGTGGGCTCGCAGCGCAAGTAACAACACCAACGCAAGCTTGCGCTAACGCTAGCCTAACGTTCGGCGAAGAAGAACCCCTCTGTGGTTCGAAACTAGTAGAGCTTTTCTCAGTATTTTCACGCGAGTAACCCACAATTTTTAGTTTATTTTAATGGTTGTTGTTTAGCCTTCATAGCGGTTGGTTGTAGAAAATTTTATGTCAATGCATTTTTTTTTTGTAAAATGACTGAGATGGCAGGGTATTTAATTAAAACTTAAAATTGTAGCCTTTCAATATTCGGGCGTAACAATACAGTTGTGATATTGTATACTGACTGACTGACTGACTGACTGACTAATATTTATTTTGTATTTCTTGACGTTTCAAAAGTACGTACCAAATTTTGGTTTAATAGAAATACATGCTTTGACTTTGTAATCGGAAAAATTTTAATTGACCTTTTGGAAAATTGTAGGTCAAAATCAACATCACGGTTTCCATGCACTTTTGCCAAAAGTATTTTATTGTCCATTCACAATCGACATTGTTAAGCATTTTTTGGAAAACCCTTAACAATTTCAATACTCCACCAATTTTATTTACACCGTGAGGATTCAACAAAATGAAATTGCCAGACAAATTCACTCCATTCAATTTATGAAATTAAATTGCGAGATTATTTCATTTCAGATATTCGACTGGCGGGGTTGCGTCTACGTCGCGACTGATGTGACATGCAATAATCAACTTAGAAGACGGTGTTGCAATGGAAATTCGATTTAATTTTCCTTGAAGCTCTTATTTTGGTGTTCTTGTACTATGAATAAATCTTCTTTATTTTATATTGGACTTGTTATTTGCACCGATTCTATTAAGTACATACTGTTTTTTGTCAAATGGCATTTTATTGGTACATTTTGTAAAAATCTAACATTAAAAACACGCTAAATTAAAACTCGTTTAATAATCAACAGGGTGTTTTCTCAAAGTCAAAATTAATATTATATTAATCACCGTCAGTGTTTATGATATCCTTTGAACAACTACATAAAAAAAGAAAAGACAAGCTGCCTTTGACGTAGTCCTTTTTCATTTATATGTTGTATGTGGACCAAAATGAAAACAACAATTTTATAATAATACCAAATAATTACATTTGTCCTTCTAAGTGTTACCCAACAACAATTTAATTTAAAACTGTTACAAATACCTTTCAACTAAGGCTGGAGAGAGTGACACTCTGAGAAGAAAATACAGTAACTATTTCACAGTTCGAATCCAATTTCAAATACCGTCTCGTTGTGACGTCATCCCCTAGCTCAGTATACAACCCGCTGCATCGCTTAACTTGCTTTTCCCAGAACGCAGTTATTATACCGTTGTGGTTGTGTTATTCGATATCTCGACCAATAACGAGTTCTTATTCGCATCACTACAAGCTGTCGAGAACATGGACGGGGGGAAATTATAAGTTTTTCCGCTCAACTTTATGAGACTATCAGGGGATTGCGGAAATTATAATTTTCTTCGTGTTCTTACTTCGTGTTGTGTTAACGATGTTCGTGACAGATGGAGGGAAAGTGGTTTTTGCTGTGCTGCGTTTTATGGTGTATTGAAATCGAAAATAGGTTTACTTTTGTATGAGGAAAACGATTTGGAAAGGTTTATTGGTTTAGAAAAAAAATATGAAAAAAAAATTTCTGTTAGCCATTACGTGTATCTCATCGAATGCTTAATTGGAGGGGCTTACATAAACAGTAGAGGTATTTAGAGCCCAACTAGTTACTTAGGGTAAATAAACAAAATTAGGTCATCAGCCAAATACCTACTAAAGTATTATTTAATCTAGAAACACAAATGAAGTACCAAATTCATTAATCATTGTTATTTAACTCGTCGAGTACCGGTTTTATAGACACAATTAAAGAACAATAGGTCGCGGTCACCGGTGACCGCTTGGTGTTTGACAGTTTAAAAGCTATGACAATAAAAAGTCCACTTACGCCTGATGAGGATCAAATCTCGCGTCCGGCGGTGCTCGTGCTCCAATAAGACACATAGTCGAGTCTGGTGGAGCAAGGACTCGAAGCTGCAATGCTGCTCTGGGATACCACCAACGTCGTTCTTCTATTGCTACTGCCACCTGGTGAGAAAACAAGGAAGTTGTTTTGAGAAAATTATAAGTAGAGAGATACAGGTTTAAAACTCTTTATAAAATACAGGGCTCCATTCTACAACTGGATGTTAAATGGTGTCCTGTATTGGGAATGATAAAATTTTAGAATAAGTAATAGGGTGGATGACTCATTTTTATTTTAATGTCCGTCTGGTAGATTGTTTTAAAACATGTGTTTTTTTATTGTTTTACAGAAACCAATACTTTCGACGATATATTTATTTAAATTGTTACGTGACGTCACTTCTATGTACATTTTATACGTACCTAGAGATGACGTTTTAGCCCTACTAACTTTGATTTGTTTTATCTAAGTATCATTTTATTATACAACAAAATAAAAAAATACGTGTCTAATATTTTTTTGTTACCTAACTGACGGACTAATTAGATATTTAATTTTCATACCCTGTCATCACCTCTATTGAATTTTGTACATCTTCTAGAACTAGCATTCTTCTAGAACAAATAATAATGATTGATAAACCATTATAATGTTAAATTAACTAGCCTTACTTTTTTCTTTTTTAAAAAACTTTGCAACAATGACAAACATATACCTATACAATCCTCTTTTCTAGATAAAAGAGGGTTTTTAATCCGATATTATGACGTAAACCTTAGATTTCATTCGTGTCACAAAAGCGTAACACGCTAGCATTCTTCTTCATTAGTTCACACAATAATCTGAAAGCCAATCAACATCAATAACTGCTTGTACCACAATCGAAACTAAATTAAACCACACACATCAACACTTTAGCAATAAGATCACACGCACAAATATATCCCAGAAACTAACTATACCAATAAATTTAATGTCCAAGATCGAGTTACACTACCCAATACGTTGTACGCATTGAAGCGATATCGGGAACAGTGGAAATTACAACGTTCTTAATTGCGTCCTTTACAGGCAACGAATTGCCTTTCATTAGGGACCGTTGATTAAGCGCCGTGTAATAACACTGGACGTCATTGTCATTACTTTGATAAAATTGAGATGGGAGATGTAAAACATGTGTATTTTCTGGTGTTCTTTGTAGAGAAAATGTGTGTTTTTCGTAAGTAAACTTTTTGTTTATTATTTTACTAGCTGTACCCGCGACTATAGTGGAATAGTGATTTACTGCGCATACCCTGTAGGTGATAACGTGAAAATATGTAGCCTATATGTTGACTCAACTCGTTAGTAATAATCATACAAATTGAAGATGATTGATTTGAAGTAAATCCATGCAGTAGTTTTTGAAATCATCCCAGACATACATACAGACAAAGAAACAGTCAAAAATTTTAAACACTATATTTTGGCTTTAGTATCCACAGTAGATAACGCCCCAAGTATTCTTTAAAAAAAATATTCAGTGTACAGTTTTGATTTTTCTATTAAGTATTTGCCTCTAAACCCAAGTTGAATCTAAGGATGAGTTCAGATAATAAAATTTACTATCTTAAGATATGACATCTGTGACTCCTCTGGTGTTGCGGGTGTCCATGGGCGGCGCCGATGGCTTACCATCAGGTGATCCGTCTGCTCGTTTGCCTCCTATTCCATAAAAAAGAAATATAGCACTACGATTGATCGCCCATTTATAAATCAACGGAGACAAGCCATGGCCTACTTGAAAGCCTTTTAACAAGCCCCGCCTCTTTCTAATAAGTTTAGGTATCTGAATTATTTATGACTACCGTTGATATTTGCCGTTCCATTAAAATGTCCTATAAAAATTATTGGAGGGGGGATCCATTAAAGAATTTGTTACGTGAAAATGTTGGATAAGTGGACCGAGGGAGTATTTACGTTAATTAAAGTTAAGATGGCTACTTTTACTGGAGTTTTCATATTGTTTGTGTTTTTTTTTTAATGTAAGTGAATTTCATTTTAAAGTTTGATTAAGATTTTCTGTTTATATAAGTTAACTGCTTATTAAATTGTTGACCGATTGTCTTGATTTATGTATTTTATTGTGATTGCTCCATATTTAACAAACATGTTTATTCTGTCGCGTATAATAGAATAGCTAGTTTGAAAAAGAAAATATAAAGGCAGAATGACTGCATGGTGCGGTGGCTAGGCAAATGACTGTCGCGCAACGTGTCGTGGGTTCGATTCCTTTGTGATCCACAGATTGTTGTTTCGGGTCTTGGTGCGATATGTATGTGAACTTGTATGTTTGTAAACGCACCCACGACTCACGAGAAAATGCTATAGTGTCGGGCAACGTTTTTCAAACGAAAAATAAAGAATTTGCAAAAACGCCAAACCTCTCTTGTATCCATGTATTGAATTTAAAATTATTTCCAGGCCTATACCAATTAAAACTGTAGTAAAATTCATATTACTTCTCACATGACTGTGTAAACAGATTGTAACATGTAAGACGTAAAGTTCAATTTTAATTAAATTTGCGACCAAACAAAGGGTGTTGTACAAAAAGGGCTGTCATACACAACAGGATGTGACGGTTTGTGCAAAGGACGCCTACGTAGTATACTTGTATGAAATAAAATATCAGCGGTTGACTATATAATAGTTGCAAATCACTAAACGGTAATTTTATACATTATCTGCTAAGAAAACTATGATTATTGTACCTTTATTTTTTTTTTTTTTTGGAAGGAGGAAAATCATCCAATTATTTCTCCCGCCCAGATGAGGCAAGAGGGAGTGTCAGACTCTTACTGACTGAAAACCACCCTGTTCCTACTCCTGCACTTCGAACCGGAGCCCCGGCAGCCCATTAGGTTCTCCGCGGCTCCGTATCGGCATCAGCCTTATTGGGCCCCATCCGGGGTGGTCTGATGGCTCTTTAAGGCGCGTGCGGAACGCGACGCGACGTACAGACTTCTAATTTTTTAAGAGTGAAATATTAAAAGTTTTACGTTAAAATACTGAAAGCCTATTCAAATTAATATTGTATTTAAATATCGTGCCATCTCTGTCATTTTACAAAGTCATTGTCGAAGATATACCCAAAAAAAATGAAGTCTAAATTAACTTAAATTTTCTGTTCAAATTACTGACAAAATAAATAGTCTTAGGCTTTAAATTCTTATTAATTAAGTCCAAAATACGTTACTCAAATACTTTATAATTCACTTATTCTTCTTCAACACTTCTAATGAATAATTCGTTAATATGTTTAAAGGTACGTCGTGAATAATGTAATTAGGCAACGCCTATTCAAACTTTACTAGTCCTAATTTTATTATTCAAAGTGATGTGTTTCATCATTAAATTACTTTCGCTATAATTTGTAAAAGCTATTTAATCATAGCTACAAAATTTATATTGTGAAATTAAATTTCAGTTTCAAACGCGTCATAAAAAATATATATGTATATATAATATTTGAGAGTACTTTGAATTATGAGTTAAATATTATAATATCACACCTTTTATTAGGTACCTACTTATTGGGTTATGGTGAGGTGACACATAGTTTTGTCCAGTTATGCTATGAGTTCCAAGTGAACCTAACCTAACCTAACGGGTTACCGGGGCTCCGGCTCGAAGTGCATGAGTAGGAACGGGGTGGTTTTTAGTCAGTCAGAGTCTGACATTCCCTGAAAAAAAGTCATATACCTAGGTTGGATCACATCAGGCACAATAGGGTAGATGACTAATTTTTATTTCAATGTTCGTCTGGTAGATTACATTAAAACAATCGACACGTATTTTTTATTTTCTCACAGAAACAAATACTATCGATGATAGATTGGTTTGAAATATTGCGTGACGTCACTTTTATGTATATTTTATACGTAGAAATGACGTTTTAGCTCCCACTACTAAACTTTGATTCGTTTTATGTAAAAGTTTAATATTGTTATTACACGATAAAATAAAAAAATCGTATCTTATATTTTTTAATTACGTAAATGACGGACTAAATAGTTACATTTTTAATTTTATACCTCGTCATCATCCCTATTCTAAACTCCGTTTTTAACAATCTTTCCAGCGATATTGTAAAGTGAATGGCAGTTGCATTGGACTATTTGACTGACCAGTCAATAAAATCAAATTACAATGACTTGACTCCACGTATTAAAAGCTATGCACAAACAAAAAGAAACATAATCGATTAAAAAAGAACGAATGAAATGAGGCCCATGTACTCCCACAAAATCAACAGAGTACTAATTAAGCTTGGCAAACGGTATTCCAATTTTACGCCAATTGACTGATCAAAGGGTCATATAGCCTGATTAACTATCATTATTATGAACCATGCAGGTTTATTGGGTAGTAATAATTGAACAGCTACACGATGCGGACTGGTTGTAAAGTATTAATAGAATTATTTATTTTATTTTCGAATCGAATTGAGGTCTAGTGGTTTAAAGCGTGATTGAGCATATTCAGCTAATGAGTTTAATTCATAATTTGTGTTTAATTAGGTTGCTTATGGAATCTCTAACAAACGATATTATAATGAAAAAAAAGATAAAAAATACTTTATTTTACACGCTAAAAACAAGGGGCAGGTACAAATGTGTTATTCTATTAGTAGGTACTGATGGATACATGTTCATGTCCCAAGTCTGCTGTAAAATGAGACTAATTCAGTATTTGCAAGACTACTGACACTGGGATTCTACTGACGCCTTAAGTGAGTCGCGGACGAACAAGTCAATAAGTCTGTATAGTATGGATAATTAGGTACTGATTATTGCTGATAAATTTAATAAGATTCTTTTAAACTTAACTCATTGTTGTTCTAGATCTGCAATACATTTTTGTATTACCTACTGGACACTTAACATAAATTAAAGGCATAACTTTTTAAAAAGTATTTATTAATTTTATCTTTGAATTAGTACATACAACAGCTATATCTCTAAAACAAACCGATAACTCAATTGGCTCATATTGTCCTTCAGTTGGCATGCCAAAGCTAAGACACTCAGTCATATAAATACATATGTGCACACTACCGCTTTGCGTGCCGGTCGGTTGTCGACTGACTCAAAACACATACCGTAACATAACATAACATCACGCCTTTTTAACCCTGAAGGGGTACACATTACGGCACTTAATAATCATGTGTTAATCATCATTATGTTATGAGTTCCATGTAATAGGGGTGACCCTATTGCCATATACCGGGCACATTTCCAGACCCCGTGCTACTACTGAGATTTTTAAAAGCCCAGTAATACTTTGCCGTACCCGGGAATCGAACTCGAGACCCATTGCCCAGCAGTCACACTTGCGACCACTCTGACAACGAGGCAGGCAACCAAAGAATATATAGGATATGTATAGGAGAAGACTCAATAGAAGTACCCGCCCTCTATTTATTATCTACGTAATATGACAGATGTCACTAAAGATGATGGTATTGCAGAATAAACGAATACCAGTAGGGTGAACTCATCTAACTTCGTGACAAAGGCATTTGAGTAATAAAATACCAATAAATTAATAATTAATTTAATTCAGTCTCCGCATGAATTTTAATCAGTCTTTTATGAGGAATATTAGCACAAATAATCAGATTTTTTTCTAGAAACCTAAGAGTTCTACCAAATTTACTAAACAGAATTATTAGGCGAGTCACAGAATTAGATGAGTTCAATATATACACCACAGCTAATATATTTGTTCCATAATGTCAAGTAAGAGCAATGTATCGTACTCTAAGTCTTACAACTCCACTCGCCATGTTTCCCAAACAATTGACGGCTATTGGTGCATTTGCAGCTGTGAAGTGCACTTCAATGGTGACCACAAACTACTACACGTTCGGAACGCCCTCTAGACAAATGGGTTGAGTACTTACTTGATGAATGTACCTGGACTTAGATACTTGTCTGAGTATCTTAGTTAGGTTCTCAAAATGCTAGGACTAATGGAAATGGTATTTTATAGTAATGATTTATATAAAGGATAATTTATTACTTTTGATGCTGAGCTGATGTTCTTATTTATATATTTTCGAGAAAGACGGGCACTGAAATATATAAATAGACTTATGTTACCCTTATTCCATATATTGGAAATAACATAACATAACATTACGCCTTTTATCCCCGAAGGGGTAGGCAGAGGTGCACACAGAAGTGACACCCACTTTTCACTATTTATGTCATGAGTCCCATGTAATAGGGGGTGAGCCTATTACCATATACCGGGCACATTTCTAGACTCTGTGCTACTACTGAGATTTTTTTTTAAAACCCAGTTTTACTTTGCCCGACCCAGGAATCGAACCCGAGACCCCTTGCCCGGCAGTTGCACTTGCGACCGCTCGGCCATCGAGGCAGTATATTGGAAATGTAAGAGTAAATTCCTATAAGAAATGCTGTCACTGTCAAAATGCTTACGAAAGAATGTTTCGTTTAGTCTAACATGCAAAAAGGAAACATGACTTGCTGAATTTACGTTTATGTAACATCTTCTTTCGGAAACAAAGCAAAACAAAACGCAAACGTAAACGAGAAATCTGCTGGTTGAGCTCCACACGTGAAGTTGCGGACAAGAGCCCGACATTCCAATACCAAGGTAGGATTGTTACGTCAAGGAATTTACTACGGATTTGTTAAAAGGGATTTTTAAAGTCTTGCGTTGAGAGACAAGTCTTATTGTTTCCAGAAAATGAAATCTGGACTTCGGAAATAGTAATATAGAGTTTAATTTATTGAAGTACTGTCAAGTAAATATGGATAACGGTTTAATTCGATTAACCCCTCGAGTGTACTTATGAGCACCCGGTGGATCATAAGAAAAAATGCTCCATGCTGCTTTCTCTTTTATAAAATCTATTATTAATGTTTTGTTTTTATTTTGATTATATTTTTATTTCTATTGTAATGATCCTTGTTTTCGTGTGCCAATGGCCAAATAAATGCCCAAATAAATGCATTTTCTTTCTTTCTCCAAATGTCACGTGTGCACCCGTTGGATCATAAGGAACGTGGACGCTCGACGGGTTAAGTTCAATTATTATAATACGATCTGATACGATTAGACAAAATAAATTATGTTGAGATTATGGCTTTCAGTAATATTAACATAACATAACATTTATCCCCGAAAAGGTGGCAGAGGTGCACATTACGGCACTTAATGCCACTGTACAATGTAACACCTAATTTTAAATATTTATGTTATGAGTCCCATGTACTAGGGGGTGAGCTTATTGCCATATACCGTTCACAATTCCAGGCTTGGTGTTATTACTGAGATATAACAAAGAATCCAGTAATAATCTGCCCAACCCGGGAACCGAACCCGGTCCACTGAGGTATTGTCAGTCGACTGCGCGACATCGCCGCGATCGTGCACGCTGCACATGAGGAAGAGCCCCTCAGTGGCTCGAAACTAGTAGAGCTTTTCTCAGTATTTTCACGTGAGTAACCCGCGATTTTTAGTTAATTTAGTATGTTTCATGATAGTTATTATAAAAATAAAGAGTGCCTCTTTAATATACACTCTAATGACCAATATAGTTTAATTTCTGGATTAATTATCATTCTTCAGAAGAGAAATACGATTAACGTTTTAATGACAAAATAAAATAATGAGTTTTGTTTTCAAATAAAACCATCTTTAAATATATATAAAAACAACACACGTTTTTTCATACCTTATTTTATACATACACACGGCCACACATCAATCTATACAAAACCAGTTTATCCTGGTGTCGCGTCGCATCATCTTTCCGTACATTTAACGTTCAGTTTATACTGGTTATGTAAAGCTCGATGTGTAGCCGTGTGTACATACCTTACTAAATAAAGCTTAAAATATTACAAACAAAGTATGATAATTCGGCTTAACCCGACATATACATATATATATCCGAATCTATTAGCCGACACGTGTAACTGTTTCTGGGAAATACACTGATGTTGAAGTAATTTCATGTTTGTAGTGCCTAAATTATTTTTTATTACCTATCCTTGTATTGTTTATTAGAAATTAAATTTTGATTGTATATTTTTTGTTTATATTGTTGTTTTGCAGTGGGTTATTGAAATGAATTCAAATTCTACACTAAACTTACATACATAGGCATACTATGGAACGCCAATAGGGTGCCTAATTTTTATTTCAATGTCCGTCTGGTAGATTATTTTAAATAATTAGACACGTATTTTTTATTTTCTTACAGAAACGAATAATTTCGACGACATATTGATTTGAAATATCGCGTGACGTCACTTCTATGTACATTTTATATGTAGAAATGACGTTTTAGCCTCCACTCTTAAACTTTGATTCGTTTTATATAAGTATTGTTTTATTATACGACAAAATAAAAAAATACATGTCTAATATTTTTTCATTACCTAACTTACGGACTAATAACATTTTTAATTTTCATACCCTGTCATCATCCCAATGCTACGATTTTTTTACGTAGTAAGCTGGTAAACGAGCAGACGGATCACCTGATGTTAAGCAATCGGCACCGTGGACACTCGGAACACCAGAGGCGTTACAAGTGCGTTACCGGTATTTTGGGGATTATTGGGGATTCGGGGATTGGTGAGATTGGGGAAGGGGTAATTGGGCGCTCAGTAACCTCACTTACACGACGAAACACAACACAAGCGTTGTTTCACGTCGGTTTTCTGTGAGGCTGTGGTGCTTACATATCACTTTCACTTCTTTAATAGTCATCAGTAAATTATAGTTCAAAAATCTGGGTTCCTTTTTCGGTACCGAGGTTTCACAGGTTTCGATTTTAGAGATTAAAATGGAATATATTACGCAACTATGATCATGCATTGTGTTTCATGTAATAATTAAATTTCAGAGTATTTGGTTGGTTAAAAGTTGTGACAATACCTAAATTTTAGTTTAACTAATGGGTGTTAATATTAACTACAAGCAAATTATCTCTTGGCCCTTATATCCAGACGGCAATTCTAAACAAAATTCTTTTTAAAAAAGATCCACCCACTGAAAACACAAATTACTTCTACTATACGCTCATAAAATGGAAATCTGTCATGATGAATCGCGGAGATGTGTAAATTTAGACCGCGTGACGTCATCCTCACCTCTTTATGCAGGAGTCGTACATGAAAACTGGCAACGTCGCTGACAGGCTCTCCAGCTTCTGTGACGTAATAGACGAGGAGTGAACTGACTGGTGCCATGTCTGCCGTCACCGGGAATCTGCAAAGAAGCTGGATTTTAGTAAATTAAATGAGAAAAGTTTTCAGTTCCCGACGAACTTACTTGAAATTTGTTTTTGGAATTAGCCCATTAATTGCATTACGAAGTAAAATGGGCGCATACTGTACACTAGTCTAACAAGTGCACATACAAAGCCAATTTTATGAGATGATTACAATCGATACGATAGCCAAGCGTCATACACGGCGCTACGCTTAGGGACGGTACGATATTTGTAGATACGATACTTGTATGCCCAGTCTTAGGGCTTAGTCCAATCGTTATTGGTTGTACTTTATTTGAACTGACCAATTACATTTAGCGATTAATCTTTAGTTTAAATAGAAAAAGATAGCATTCCCCAAGCGTTCACCGGTGACCGCTCTCCACTAACTACGTTATAGACCTTATTTCCGATGTTTAGAGACTACTTTTGTATGAACTTTAGGGGATGATATTTCAACAGATTAAGTTCCAATAAGCTTTTTTCTTCATCATCAACAGCTTATAAATGCCCACTGCTGAGCAAAGCCTCTTCTCACATGGAGAAGGTTAGAGCAATAATCACCACGCTTGCTCAATGCGGGTTGGCGATTTCAAACTTATAATTAGAAATTATAAGCCCAGGTTTCCTCACGATGTTTTCCTTCACCGTTGGTCAGTGGTGTCTAAATATTCTTAGAAAGTACATTTAACTCGGAAAAAGTCACATTGGTACTTGCCGTTGGTAAGTTTCGAACCTGCACCCTCGTGCATGAGAAACAGGTGTCTTCAACCTCCGGGCTACCACGACTTTTTTTTTAAGGGGGGAAAATCATCGAATGACTTTTCCCGCCTGGGTGAGGCGGGAGGGAGTGTCAGACTTTTCTTTGTAATTTCAGTGCAAAAGACACACTTTTCGTAATAAAACCTTAAGATTCTCTAAAGTGAACACTAAATCACAATCCTAAAGTTAGAAAAGGCAGGAAATACTGAAAATTTTAACATTAAAGCAATTTCGAGGTCAATAAAATACACCTGCGTACAATATTTCACCTTTCTACCATCTTCAGAGAAAAATGTGATTGTTTTTGCACCGAGAAATTTGTTGAAAGTGCTGTTATTGCAATATTCTTAAGTAGCTTCTATTCGCCATTAACTTCTAACAAATTTGAATTTAAAAGCAAGGATACTGGTTTATTATGTTAAGTGGTGGGAGGTAAAAGTCAAAGTCAAAGCATTTACTTCAATTAATCCTTAATTAAACACTTTTGAAAGGTCAAAAATTGAATTGTCCATCCATCTGTTTGTCAGTGAAGCTAGGCGGCTAGCTATGTAAGAATTTTATATTTACGGGGAAACTAGGGTACTTATTTTCTGTTAGGATAGCATATTTAGATATTGACTATTAAAGTTGTAGGTATATGTATCTATGTTGGTGATATTTCTTCCATTTTGAAAGTATACAACATAAATTGCGGTTTAACGATGAATAAAATAGTATGAGCTCAGATGGGGACTTAAAATATGGCGGAACATAAATATGTGTTAAAAAGGCAATATTTTAAAACACAGTCTCTGCTGTTTTGTTACAAAATTGTGTCATGCAGATATACATAGCAGTGTCGATAAATTTTGGTTTAAAGCTGTACCTACTATATTTTATGGTTTTACTAACTTTTACTCTTTTATGTTATAAATACCATACAAGAGTTTGCTTCACAAATTAGAATTATGAAATCTAATTTCTAAAATACTCGACATGGGGATCAAACTACATATACCTATTTCAATTTAGGTCATTTTTTAAAAACAAAGATTTAAATTTGAGATGTGCTGGCTATTCAAAGTAATCACACAACACAACCAGTAAAAACAGGTAAACAGAAACAAATAAACTCCTTAATCAAAACCGAACCATAACTTAAGATCAAATTCGTAATAAAATTTCCTACATAAACCCACCTCGGAACGGGGAAAGGCCCAAAAAATTCCCAAAACATTTTTATCGACTTGGAAGCGGTTATGTAAACAAAACAAATGTCCTCTACGTGTACTTGGGTCCCGATATAAACACGAAGGGCCTTTGTTTCAACGCACTTGTCAGGTCCAACACACACAAATCAAAAATTTCTCCCGACAATACCAATATTTGTCGCTATAAATCTAAGCCTGTTTTTCTCGGTTCCAAAACATTCGAGTTGTTTGGCCACAGAAATGTTTATTGGCCGATTGGTTTTATACGATGTCCATTTATAACACTGGTAGTTGACCTAAAAGCATTTAGTGTTAAGACTAACGAATTTATAGCTGGTGTCGTGACGTCTAGACCCATTCTAGGTTATGTTTATTATCCTTTATTTATATCTGATTTCTTTATTGAATTACTTGTTTTTTTGTTATTTTTTGGCCCTGAGTTCTTAATAGATTTCATGATAATTATGTCATGGAGTCTAGAACTGTGCCCGGTATAATATACCGGGCTCTATTCCGGTATAATATTCTAGCTCAGTGGGCTCAGCTTTTCCTATTACATGGGACTCATAACATAAATAGTGAAAAGTGGATGCTACATTGTACAGTGGCATTAAGTGCCGTAATGTGTACCTCTGCCTACCCCTGAAGAAGCCAATATTCGATTTCATTTTTACAGATATGGAATTGCTCTTACTACCGCTGAGCCTACAACCAGTTGACTGAATTACTGCCATTTCGATATGAAAGTTATTAAAATTAAATTATGTGGAAGATTCGTTAGGGGTTACCATAAATAATTTACATTGGAATCTGCTTTATTAAACAGTAAATGCAATGATTACCACAATAACCGATAAGTTTATGAATAAAAGGTTTTCTGGGTCATTTTAATTATTATTGCCAAGTTATTAATTATTGAAATTAAGATTATACGGAAATCATTGATGGAGGTTTTATTCAGCTGTGGGCAGAGGCGTGCACAGAGATTTGAAGTAGGGTAGGCAGAAGGTATCACATGATTAAAAAAAATTTGGTCTACATTAATCTCGGAAAATTAAACTCCCGAAACATCATAATTTTGAGTAGGTAATTAGGTTTAGTAAGTATTTTATTAATTTGTATAAACAAATTAGGTACATAATTATTTTAAAACTATCCGTGTATAAAGTTGATCAACATAGATACCTAGGTATCTATTTTACAAATCTATTAACTACTAACTAAGTACCTACTTTGGAGCGGCGAAGTACAAATGGTTACGCGACCATCAAGCTATACGACACCAGTATAAACTGACCGTTAAATGCATAGAAAAATCGTACAAAGCGAGATCAAGATGACTGGATATTAAAAACAATAATGAAATTGGTACACAACCAGTGCTAACAAACTATACCTATAATCGCAAATCATAGTGTTTATTAAAAGAAATAATAAAATTATTACCTTTTTTGAGTTACGCCTAGCCCGGACATACAACATGTACGCAAAATCGCCTTTGGAAATATTTTCGTTTCTTCTTCGAACGACAATAAGGACAACGCACTCATATTGAATTTATTGAACAACACAAATCACCAGCACAGAGCTCACAGCTATAATTTCACATAATTTTCGGTAAATTAATAGTTCATTTAAATTATAATTCATTCACATTACAATTTATTCACTTGCACATAAAAACATAACCAAAACAAAATGGCCAAAAAAAACGTAAACAATAAGTTGACCAAAATTAATATTATCTAATTTCAATCAACAAACGTTACGATTTGTTGACTTCTTAAATTAGTCGGATAACGAAGAAGCAGTGCTTTTGCAGTTGTATAGAAATTACCAACCTAACAAAAAAAAAATCCAACATCAGCACGAGAAAACAAGCAAATTGTACCGGCTAGCATTAGTACATGCTTCCGCCACCATCACACAATAGCGAGGTGGCGGCGCCACTGGCGCAATGCTCCAATATCGAAGAAAGTAGAAAGTGGTTGTAGTACTTCAATATTTTTTCGATAGATGGCGTTAGTCACCAGTTTTCCAAATTAAGTATCAATAAAATTACAAAATCTCTGTATGATGTCAGTAAATATTCATGTCGTGTTTATGAGTGACACTATGTATTTGACTATGTAGGTTTACCATGATTTTGTAGGGTATGCAGTGCTTATTTGCATGTATGGTGTGCACGCCACTGGCTGTGGGTGGTTAGTGATGATGATGGATGTATTGGTTTGATAATTATTGTACACAGGACGACCTCCTTTTTCCCAACTCCTCATTACTGGCTCTAGTCAAAAGGTTGTCTATAAGAAATCGCATTCTGCGATAAGACCGCCTATTGTACACATTCTTTTTATGTTTATTTTTCTTTGTGTTTTTATGGTGTACAATAAAGTGTGTAAATAAAATGATGAACTTGAAACTATGCAGAATAAACACATATTTAACCATTATTATTATTAACTAAATACTTGCGCGCGGTTTCACCCGCCCTTCTCGGCTCCTATTGATCATGATATGATGTTTTATACCCCATATATAACCTACCTCAATTAATGGACTATCCAATAAACAAAATATTTTTCAAATCGGAGCAGGAGTTCTTGAGATTAGAGCGTTCAAAGAAACAAGTATAAAGTACATAAGATTAGAAACTACTATTATCATCGGGAACTTTAACAATCTTTTTCCCCTATCCTTTTCCCCAAAGTAATTGCCTATCATTTTTCCAGTGAAAAATTCCTATAAAGCATAAAGCATACATTTTCCATTCAGTTGATTGTATCGACATACTTTTTTTTTTGTTTTTTCCCGACTATAAAGTGCATAACGACATTTCGACATTCTACATACCCGATGGACGTTTTTAAAACGTTGTTTTTTTGTTTTTTTTTCTTTTTCAATAAGGGAACAATCGACCAATTTGCTGTTACAAATTGCCGTTGATTGGACACAGCCTTTGATGCGTACGTTTTCTTTTAATTTATTTCTGAATTCAATTTCGATACTGTTTATTACAATTTTAAGTGGTTGTTGATTGAGTA